TATATATATATATATATCATCTAATAGCTGTTCTAGTGTTATTTTCCTCACATTATTTTCCATCTAGTTATGGAGCCAGTCTCTTCTTGTTGTTGCTGTAGTTGCAAATGTACATGTAATGGTTGTTGTTGTTGTTCTTCTTCTTCTTGTGTGTCCCACCCTTTGGGTCGATTAGAGATTATAATAGGCCCAATGTTTGCAGGAAAGACATCTACTTTAATTCAACGAGTCTCACGACTACGGTCTGCTGGATATCGTTGTCTTGTCGTCACCCATTCCATAGACACTCGCTATCATAATAATAATGAAGGTGATATTCACAATGATTACACAGATGCGACATCTCGTTCTGTTTGGCTCTCTTCACATGCATATGGTTTACGATATCCAACAGATGTTGCCCTCTCTACACTGTGGGAACTCCATCAAGGGGAATTACCATCCAACGTAAACAACACCAATTATCATCATCACAACAAGAAGAATAATAGTACGGAGAATGAGGATAATGAGACTCAAGAGGAGAAAAGGGAAGATGTTTCTACAAATACAGAGTTGAAAGCAAATAAGACTCTATTAGATTGGCGAAACTATTCTGTTATTGCCATTGATGAGGGACAATTTTTCCCCGATCTCTATTCCTTTTGCTCAACCGTTGTAGCTGCAGGAAAACACATACTGGTTGCCTCACTTGATGGGGATTGTCATCAACAATCTTTTGGCGAAGTCCATCGTTTACTCCCACTGTGTGAGTCTGTGCAGAAACTCTCTGCTATTTGTATGAAGTGCCGTACACGTGAGGCCTTCTTCACACAACGTCGTGTTGAGATGCCACAGCAAGTAGTGGTGGGCGGTGTGGAATTGTATGAGACAGTCTGTCGTTTTTGTCTTGACCAACCACAAAAACGGGGTTTCACTGTTTCTCTTAAGCAAGAAAAGGAAAAACAAGAAGAAGAAGAAGAAAAGAAGGAATGATGATGATTTTAAAGGTTTTATGTGAAGAGGAGGGGTGGGGTCTCGCATTTCTACTCTTTTTTTTTTTTTTCTTTTTTGATTTGGTGTTTTTTTTTTTTTTTTTTTTTTTTTTTTTTTTTTTTTTTTTTTTTTTTTTTTTTTTTTTGTTTTTTTTTTGTTTTTGTTTTCTCTTTTTATTGGTTTATGAACGTACTTGAGTATTCTTGTAATCTTCTTTCTTCATTTTTCACGTATCATTGAGCTTGTTTTATATATATATATATATACACTCCTCAATGAGTATGGATTGAACTGAATAGGGAAAAGCAAGTAGTTCTTCTTCCATCTTTCTATTATTCTTCATCTTGTCCTTTAATGATTTCTAATGTTATCAGATGAGATCTCATCTTGTGTCTCTCTCTCTCTCTCTGGGAGAAACAGAGAGAGTGTGAATTACTTGTTTCCTCTATACAGTGTTTTTCACATTTTTATTTTCTTTTATTTTATTTTTACTATCGAACCTCGTACCTTAAGCACCAATACCCCGTGATTTGATTAGAGTAAATGTCTCTTTTAGATGAATCTCGGAGAAATCTCCGATGTGAACTCCGACGCTTTGCAGGACTTCAATTTACAACAATGGAGCATGTTGAGATTCAACGTTGGCGTAATCGACTGCGTCAACTTCTCACGGATGTACGCCGGTGTGCCATTGCGGTTGGTTCCGCCTCTCTTGGCCCTTCTTCCTCTTCTGCTGTTGGGATGAATGCCACTGGAACAGGAACAGCAGCAGTAGGAGGAGTAGGAGTAGTGGGGAATAATAATAATAATAATAATAATAATAATTCTTATTCCAATACCATCACAACAGGGCCTATGGCAACAATAGTGAATACAAATACAACTGCTACTACTAATACTAATACTACGGCTGCGGCTGCCGCTGCGACTATGAATACAGCTGCGGCTGGTGGTATTGGGAGTTCACCAGTGACGAGTGCGAATGCAGATCATCGTCCACGTAAAGGAATGAAGGGAAATGGAAAAGGAACGACAAACACGGTAACTACTACCACTACGGCAACAGCAGCAGCAGCTCCTAACAACAACAACAACACCACAAATGTTTCTGGAATGGCAATGATGTCTACATCTCATTTCTCAGCATCTCTACACTCTATGAATGCCACTACTGGTGGAATGGCAGGGGGAACTATACGCCGTGAACAACCATTAGAGTTGGATGTGGCTGTTGTCTTTGCAGAGGAGTGTATTGCCGCGGCGGAGTTCTTAATATCTAAAGGCATGTATGAAGAGGCATTAGAATTGTGTCTAGAGGCACTGGAACGGGATGTGCGATTAACACTACGAGACGCCGCAAGCCGATCGGAAACGGCACGAGATGCAGAAAAGAATGAAAAACCCCAAACGTTATTTTCTCTCCAACAACAACAACAACACGATGAGGGTCGTCACTTGAGTACTGGTACTAATGCTTCTGTTGGACGTGGTACGGTTCCCCTTTCACCACAGTTAGTGGCAGTTTTATTACGTGCCTGGCGTCTTGTAGCCCAATATGATATTCTGCGGCGTACATGTATGGCCCATCTTGCCCTTCAATACAATATAGGGAATAGAGGCCGTGATGTGGAGGATCATCCTTCTATCTCTTATCCTCATCCTGATTCTAGTGATGGGGATCATTCGTGTTCATACACTGGGAATCCAGCGATTATGCGGGCTATAGGAGATATGGATGTTCTTACTACACGACTGGTTTCCGTAGCCAAAGTAGATGCGGATGGGAGTTATTATATTCTTTTCAATGGTACCATTGCGGTATATGAATTATGTCTTTCTCTCTTACATGCTGTAGGTCGGGATGTATTGGAAGTACTTCCACACATTGCACGTTATATTGCCTTATGTGTAGATCTCTGTGAGTCTGCCACGTTAAAATTAGCCACCGTGCGATATCTTCCTTGGCGTCTTCGATTATATGATCTTCTCACAACATGTTATGAACAACAGGAGTTGTATAATGATGCTCTTATCATTGCACAGCGGGCTATGCGGAAAGTACGGGAATTAGTAGAATTGGAACATTTGGATCCTGTTCCACCAACAATGGCAAGTCAAGAGGTGATGTTGTATGCACTGGATCACACTCTATTAGCGGTGGTTAAATATACATGGTATGTGAACAGTACAGGCAAACAAACAACAACAACAATAACAACAGGAGGAGGAGGAATAGGCACTAGTGCAGAAACAACAACAACAACAACAACAAAAGGAGGAGGAGGAGCTGGTGGTGGAGGTACAACTGCAGAGACAACCTTATTAACATCACAGGAACAACCACTCTCTATAGGGAATGTACCACAAAGTGGTTTGGAAATGTTGAATTCGGCATGGCAACTATTATTGAAAGTGGAATTACCGAAATCATCTAAACAACAATTGTCTGAATCCCCAGGTAACACAACAGGTACAACAGGAGCCGATAAAGGTTCTTCACAGGGTCGTAATAAAAAAGGAAAAGATAGTTCGAAACAACAGCAACAACAGCAACAACAACAACAACAAGAACAACAACAAAAGGAATTAGTGTTAAAGAGAGAACTGGCAGCCAAACGTGCATTTGGAACTTTAGTGCGGTTTCTCTTATCTTTCACCACCGCACCCACATTTTCTTTGCCTTCTCAAACCACAGAGAATGAACCAAACACAAAAAAAATATCTCCACAATCTCTTGCAGCTGCTTCTGCGGTGAAACCCTTTCGTGGTTGGGCAATTGAAGCCTTGGAGTTTCTTACCCATCGTGCGGTGTTTACTTATTTACAGACTAATCCCTCTGTGAGAGAAAAGGGATTAGAAGAGGATTTTAAGAATGTTGATGTATTACCTCAATCCTTACAAATGCAATTACAACAATTACAACAAGGGATATCTAATTTAAATAATACAACTTCTGGAGGTAAAAAGAATTCCCCTGCTAGACGTGGTAATCGTGCACAACCGGCCAGTCAACCAATCATCTTAGCCATGGATGATCCGGCCTTTTTAAAGAGTATCACATTGGAGAATCTTTTATATACACTTGCACCTCTTAGAGCCCCTGTACAAATCACATCTGATGGAGAAAAGATTACTTCTTCTTCTTCTCCTCCTCCAGGAGGACAACCACCACAACATATAGATGTGTTGAATGAGGAAAGTTTATTAATGATATTACTTCTTCATCGTGTGTTATTTGATGGGAAACACGGACACTTATACGGTAGACTTTGTACCTGTAGTATTGCTTCTTTGCAGGGATGTCATGTGGAAGAAGAAGAAGGGAAACATGATATAAGTACAACTACTAATACTACTACAGCAGCAGGAACAACAACTACTACTACTACTATTACAAAGGGTAGTGGAGTTAGTGGAAATAAGAAAAATGCACAACAACAACAAGCAGTAGTAGTAGCCCCAGTATCTAAGAAGGCAGCGCAGATGCGTTTGTTGGATTTAGTGTCTCTTACATTAGCATTACTGCAACGTATGCGACGGGCAGGTGTGGGAACGGAATTAGCCAATACCACTGCAACCTTTACAACAACAACGGCAAAAGAACAAATGGGTGAGTTAACACCCATCACAGATGAATTAAAGAAATTATTAAAACTTTACGCCGGACCAAATGCCGCCACTGTTGCTGGTAATCTTCAATCAACAAAGAATGATACCATAGCTTTTACTATGGTTCCTATACAATCATCCCATTATATAATGCTTGGTACGACAACAGCAATGTCTAGTAGTTTAACTATGTTTTATCAAAAATTTCTAGAAGAGACGACTACATTTCTACAAGAACGTGTAAATACGTGTTTTGCACAACTTTCAATTTCATCTTCATCTGGTTCAGAATCTTTATTTGGAAAAAGTATGTCAACTGAAAAAGCCGTTGACGATAGACGAGAACAAGAAGAAAAACAAGAGATATTTGATGTTTATCATAATGTGATTTGTACCTGTTTGGAGGCAAAAGTAAATAGTGGATTAACAGATGCTGTTGGAATTGGTCAACTGGTTCTCACCTATGCAAAGGAGGTAGAGGCGGAAGTCTCCACAAGTGAAACAACAGCCACCACTCACAATACCAACAAAACCAGTAATAATAATAACAACAACAATAGTAATAGTAATAGTCCTTCTCACAATATGGATACTGTACATATGCTGCGAAAGACCTGCGAACGAACCCGCACGGCAATTGCGGCCATTCGAATGGCACTTGGATGTCTGGCGCAGCGTCCACGGCAAACGTCCATCTCATCAAGGCGGCCTGGTGCCGATAGTCCCATCAAAGAATCATCTCCCTCCCCACCTCAACAACAACAACAACAACAACAAATGAACAGTGAAATGATTCGACGATTGCGGCACGAACAGGAAGTGTTAGACACACGTACAGCTCTCACACATTGTATGTTGGAGTTGCGTTGGCATCAAGCCATTCACCGACAACACTACGCCGCAGTGGAGCGACATCGGGCAGATGTGAAGTTAGTGATGGAGCGTCATGCTAAATCTCGTATTTATGGTGCTGTCACAGCAAAGGAATTAAATGTGTTGGAATCTCTTTTACAAGCAGAGCCCACTGCAAATGCTATTGCCTCTTATGATAATGATGATGAGAAGAAACGAATGTTAGCATGGGCACGTAGTGAAAGAGATGTATTATTGCATGCCCTTGTGCTGGTCTGTTTGGCATCTCATCAGACACAAGTGAAGGCACAACGGGAAATGATGGAAGAGGCATTTCGATTATTACATCGATATGAAGGTAGACGTCTACATGCTCAGAATAGACCACTTAGTCCTCCTCAACAAACACAACAACGAGAAGATACTGCGTATTCAGATCTTATGATTTGGTGTTATGCTGTTACGGTGAGTGGTAAGTTGGGTTTTATGAATATGACAGAGAGTGCAAAGAATGTTCTCTATGCCGCATTTGCAAGTAATCATAATAGTGAGGGACAAACAGGAGATGGAAGACGAATAGGTCATGAGAATGATCTTCAGAATACAGCAACAGGTATGATGACAAAAGGTACAATTCAAACGAGTACTTCTACTTTACCTTCTCCTCCTCCTCCAACAACAACAACGACAGCGACAGGGACGACTACAACTACGGAAAAAATGAAAAGTGATAGTATTACTGGAATGGATCCTTCTGTTTTCTTAGTTGTACATCCTAATGAAGAGATGTTGGCAGTCTCTTCACCACTCCTCTTACGTACACTTGTATCTGCATTACTTTGGATGTCTACTGTGGAGATGCGTCGTTGTCCATATCATAACTATGATATAACGGGTATTATGCCATTTGTGGATATGGGTGAATTAATGGAAGTTCCATTTAAAGAACGATATGGACTCGCACGTATGCAAATGTGGCATTTGCGAAGTGCCTATCGTATTCAGTTTGCTATTGAACTTGCTGATCGTGTACAAGATTATCCATTAATGCTACAATGTACATATGAACTCTTTAATGCACTACTACCAACTCTCACAGATGCCAATTACTCTCCATATGTACTACAACCATTAGCAACATTATGTGGAGCCTTTAGGCGACAACCCGCATCTGTTTGGGGAGACGCACACACACAATTACTGGCCGTTCGCACATTGGATGCCTTATTGAAAACAATTCGAAAAATGTCTGCTGTTGGATTAAGTGCAGATTCAAATTCTTTGTTTTTTTCAGCTCCTACTGGTACGGCTAACGCTAATGCTAATGCTAATACTGCTTCAGGATTAGGTGATGCGACTTCTAGTACACTAACAGTATTTCCAACATCTATTCAAGGATGGTACGATTTACTCCTTTCTGTCTTTTCACATGTGTGGAATCAAGTATATACACATCCCAATACACGTCAACTTCGATATTTAAGTAATATTCGTCAAACTGCCAAAGAAGTACAACGTACTTTAGGTCTTAGTCCAGGTTGTTTAGATGTTTTACATGTTGTTACTTCGAATACACCAACTCCTGCTCCTGGTGTTTCTCAGAATTTAAACAATAACCGTACACCGCGAGGGAATAATAATCGCTCATCTAAAAGGGCATCTACCACACCTGTTCCTGGAAATGACGTTACAATGTCTCTCTTTCCTGGAAGTTCCTATGCCGTAGCGGATACTGTGTTGGATGATTGTATGCCTATTGAATACCTCACATTATTAGGAGAAATACTCTTTACAGTACCAGGAGGTGGAACCACTGTGGTTTCTCGTCCTTTTAGTGGACGAAGAGAAAAATCTATAGATAGTGAAGGATTGACGGCAACATCTTTAAACCTTATAGGAGTTCCAACGTGGTTATCTGAGGTGGCCCGTGGGCTTTCAAGTAAATCTGTGCAAACGGCTATAGATCGATTACAGCAGGCGGCGACTGATCCACTTTACGCTAAGACTGCTGTTTATATTGTGGAGTATCTTTTAAGACAAGGTGATATTAACACCGCCAGACGTGTAGCCACAGAGGCGTTAGAAACCATTCAGAAATTACACACCGGTGTACAGGAATTTCAACAAACAGTGATTGACTCTATGCTGGAGTGGTTACAACGGGAGGGATATATGTTGGTAGAAATCCCACAAACACAGAAAAAGACTGCACCGCAGGAAATTACTCCCACGAAACAAGGACGATCATCCAAACGTGCAGAAGCGAAAGGAACAGAAACAGTAGTGGAAGTACGACGACCACATCAGTTCACTAGTGTGGATGGAAGAGAATGGACAATGGCAGAACAACAAATGTTAAGACAACTCACACGTGGAGTAGCACGAATACGTAGACGTCGTGCTTTACGTTGGTTGCGTGGTCGCATCATGCAGTTTAACGCACCTTATCAGGCACAATTGCATATGTATCTAGCCACATGTGCACAAATGACACTGGAGCGAATGCAGCGGCAAATGCAAGAGAATGAACAGAATGGAACTAACGGTAATAATAATAATAATGGTAATGGTAATGGTAATAATAATAGTACGGGTATGATTCCTACAGGTACATCTCCAGGGCCTAGTATGGGAAGCACAATTGGACGTGGAGGTAAACGAAACAAAGCACGAGAAGGAGAGGCGGCAGCAGCAGCAGCACGAGAAGAAGAATTAAGAATGCAGAAAGAAGAGGAAGAACATCTTGTTAAACATGGGACACATGCGGCGATACTCTTTAATCGTTGTTGTTTTCCATCTCATGCCTTTATGGCCATTACACAAGCTATAGATGGGTTACGTGCATTTGTCTGTGATGATCCACCCGCACAGACGTTATCAGATGAAAAACTAATGCTTCTCTGTAATCCAAATGATAATAATAATAATAATAATAATAACAATAATAATCCTGATGCTGATGTGATGGGTGATAGTGGTGGCGGTGGTGGTATTACTCCTCATGTTGCTGTTATTCCTACTGGTGGTGGTGGTGGTGGTGATGAGCCTTTACAGTCAGGACGTCCAAGTCTTCAACAATCAACAGAATCCAGTAATCTCTCTGTACAAGGTGGTGATGCTATGCAAAAGACACTCATTATAGCTGAAAAGTTACGTGAATGGGGACCTCGTGTTCTTCCACTTGCACATGCCTTACATGAAATGTTATTATTACTATGGAATGGTTTTGCAGATAATCGTCGTGATGTGGAGTTTTTACAACCAGCTGCTGTAAAAGTTGGCCGTGATGTACTTGCAGAGGAGCAATTACCTTTTCAAGGTCGAATTCCTTCTTTACATGTTTATATCTCTGCAGCAGGGCAATATGAGGAATCTCGTCTTGCACATATGGCTCTAATATCATATAGACGTCTGATACAATCAATGACTTGGCGAGTACGTGATTTGTTTAGAAAAGAAGAACGAGAACGATCTCAATTACAACAACAGTGTTGGAGTACATGGCAACAAATACTCTCTTCACAAACCACAGTTCTTCCATTCTTAACACCTCATGTAAAGGAGGTGGAACAGATGTTAACATGGATACAAGAACAAGAACAACAGAAAGAAGAAAAAGAACATCAATTGGATTTAAAGAAAAAAAAGAAGAAAGTTGGAAAAGTTGGTGGTGTCAAGTTAAAGAAATCTATTCCAGATCCTATTCGTACAGATACCGCAGATGCGGCGGTAGTAGTGGCACGACGTCTCGGTTCAGCATTACCAGCAGAACGTATTATTGAACATTTAATGTTTCTTTTACAGTATATGCAATTTAACAGACAACGTGCATCTCTTGAACTTGCACAAGAGGTCCATCGACTAACAGGTGGATTCTTTGCCTCTGATTTACTTCCTTTTGTGTTGTATTTACAAACAACTATGGGAATGCCTATGAATGAGAAGTTACTAAATGAATATATCTCTCTTCGTAGAAATGAACCTGTGTATAAGGCTCTTATGCGTAATGCTCAACAATTATGGGAACGATATACCACCACCGATACGTATAAACGTGTCTTGCAGCGTCTGACCCGAACATTAATGCCATTAAAACAACACACATCTCAACAACAACAACAACAACCGGCTTCTCCAACCACTATTGTTGGAGGTGGAGGTGGGAATGGATCTGTATTGGAGTGGGATGTTAATTCCATGGCAAGTGGGGAAACAACGCTTACATGGCAAACCGCACGTGGGACTACAAATATGCGTCGTATGAATGTACGGGATGTGATTAAAAGTTATGAAAGTGTTATTACACATTTGCGACAACGACGTTTATTTGGACTTCTTGCAGAGCAATTATATAAACTTGGACGTATTCATTTACTACATAGACAACGTGCAGAGTCGGAGCGGTGTTGGTTGGAAGCTGTAGATGCCGCATTAGAAATACCAGGATCATTACAACGACCACCAGAGGCATGGAAAGAGTTTGATGTTCTCACAATTGGATTTCCACGTATATTACTTGCCGTTCTTTCACTTAGTTCACTAGCTATGTATACATACCGTGAACAACAAAAACAGGCAGTGGATGCGTATTTAACATCTGCATGGATTGTAGAAAGATTTTTTAAACAAGGTGGTACAAGTAATTTTCCTCAACATTTACGTGATTTTGGTGGATTTGTATTAGAAGATCTTATTGTACTTCCCCATCTTGGTGAATCTCTGATAACATTAATGCCACACATTGTCCATCATACACTCTTCCTTGCATGGGAACTTCTTAAATTTAAGTTTCCCTTATATGCTGCTATGATTGCCTCCCTCACAGAATATCTTGCGCGTATACACACTCGACATGTTGCTCTTACAGTGGAAGCACGATTAATACAAGCCATGGCGGCTTCTCATTTTGGAAATCATCGGGCATCTATGAAAATACTTCGGGATGTTTGTATGGGAAATCGTGTTCCCTGTGGAGCATTAGATGCCACTGCTCTCAGTGGTGTACATGCAATCATGGACTCTGCAGATGCAGTGAAGGTTGGAAAGAGTGGAAAGCGACCAGATACAGTACAAGGGAATGCCCAACGACAAATGGATTTACAGTTAGAGTTACAACAACAACAACAACAACAGCAACAACAACAACAGGAACCTCATGAGTCTTTATATGATGATAGTGAATTACCAATAGTACCAGGTAATGTAACAAGTATTCAAGCCTTTGTATCTCAGTGTCTCTGCACAAGTGGAGGAGAGACAAGTACTGCACAATCCAATTCCTCTGCTCTTACTATTATTGGTGGTTTACATGAATCTGTGGCTGCATCTTATGGTTTTCTTCTCTCTCAACGCGTAGAACTTGCGGTGGCGGAATCTCTTGTAACTCTTGGTGCACGAGAGGCTGCATATGTCTGGTGTGCCTATGCAACTCCTCCTCCATTAACAACAAGTACCAATACTACTACAACAGGAGGAGGAGGAGGAGGAGGAGGAGAACGGCGTGGTGGGCGATCGCGTAGTTTACAGCGAATGCCACTACATAGTTTTACAAATTCAGCGTGTTTAGAGGCATTAAATGCTGCGGAGCAAATCTTGCAGATATTATTAGCACGAATACAAGCACGTTCTGGTGGTGGTGGTGGTAATACAGGAGTTGTGGATGGGAATAGTAGTATTAGTAGTCTTCATAAGAAATCTCCAATACGAGAGAAGAGTACTATTTTACTGAAGGAAGATGTACCAGCTACAAGACGATCTTGTGAAGTAGAGGAAATGTATGTACGTTCTGTATCTGAACTTCTTCTGGCGAAGATATTTACAGCACGTGGAGAATGTGCAAAGGCGTTAACACTTCTACAATCTCTGGTAACCGCATTTAATGATGGTGTTATTAACAGTATGCATGGACGTGGTATATCTGGAATGCCATCTTATTTATGGTCTGTTACGATGCATACCTTTTGGTGTGAAGTATATCAATTGATGGTGTTAAATCATGTACGTGTGCGTGAGTATGCGGCCGCACGGGAAGTTATACAAAGTGCTCTTATTCTCTGTGATGAATGTGGAGATCCATACACTGGACGTGTGTTTTCACTTTACAGTGCTGCGATTGCTGCCCGTTTAGGGTCTTCTTCACAGTCAGCAGGAACATTAAATGTTCTTCAACGTGTTTCTCATTCCCTTCGATGTGATCATCGTATTGATATGCTGTATGCATGGACCATTGTGGCAAAGCACTCACTTGAACAGGAACTTCGACGAGGTAAAGGAAACCAAAAAGAAAAAGAAGAAGAAGAGGAAAAGGAGAAAAGATATAATGATGTAGTGCTTTTAGAAACTGCTGTTATTGCTTTACGTGAGTACTGTGAAGTACATGGTCTTTTACCAGGTTGTGTCCCACCATTAGAGATAGAGATAAGGAGGAAAGATCAACCAGCTCAACCGCAATATTCTATTCTTAGTGTTAATAAAGCACTACCAAGACCTCAAGTAGCGTGGAATATTGATGCGATATTTCTCCATCGTGCGTTAAATTTACTTGCAGATGAATATATATATTTAGGGAAACTTGATCTCGCTGAAAGTTTACTTCGTCATGCTATTTTCGCCCTTACCCCACAGTATGATAATGCTGCTCATCCTACTCCTGTTATTGAGAGTCGTTTTATGCTTGCCCGGGTATTATGTCTGCTTACCCCAACATTACTAACACAACAGATGAAACCATCCACAGAAGATAGAAATGAAATACCAAGTTTAATGCAGGATACATCGGAATCTCAAATGACAGCTTCTGTCGTTATATCTAGATTAGATATTCCCAGACAAGAACCGGTAAAACTTCTTCTTTCTGTTATTCAAGATATCGTTACAAGTGGAACTCATAATTATGATATTTTACGTTCGGCATTATTATATCTAGCGGTATTATTCTCACGAACGGGTCAATCTTTTCCTATTTTGATTGCTGCAGCCTGTGGAGTTTTGGCAAAACTTGTACTTGATATGAATTTCCATGTCTTTAGTGGAACACGTGTGTTTTCACTCTATGGAGATGATCCTATTAATATGACTACAGATGCACTCTTCACAGAGAATATTCTCGCCGCCATTCAATACACACAACGTAGTTTAGGAAATATCACCGAGAAGGTTAACACGAGTGGAGAAGTTTCACTATTGTCTAGACCCACAACACCTGATGTCCGTCGTGCGGCTGTACGCAATCGTGATGAAAAGGAAAAAACAAATGTGAAGAATCTTGTTACTCTTCCTATTATTGTGGCCGCCTTTGCGGCTTTACATCGGGATCGATCTCTACAGTGTGTTTTCCCACCGCTGGAATCATTAGATCTTGAAACCGCACTCCGTCAAGTTCGGGCGTTTTTGCAAACACGAACGGCACCCCTCAGTTGTTATTATCTTTGGTATAATGAAAACACAAGAGAAATGTATGTGAGGCAACAGCAACAACAACAATCCCAACAACAACAACAACAAACATCACAAGGACAACAATCTCAACAAGGACAGAGTCGACTTGGAGAGACCATTCGTACACAACGTGGGGCTACCACTATTATAACAGATGCTGCCGGATCCACAGCCTCTATGTTACCACCTATTGTTATTGATAATCTACCACCTTTATTTAATGCGAATACACTTACAGAGTTAAATGTACCCAGGGTAAACACCGTCCTGTGTCAGTCTTTTATGCCGGATACACATAAGAATATAATGAATACCGTTGGGAAAAAAATCCCTTCAACTGGAGGAGAGAAACGAAAACGTGGAGTGACATCATCTCTAGCCACTTCGAGTGTTACGCGTAATAAGATGAATACTACTACTAGGAATAATAATAATACTATTAATAGTAGTGGTGGTAATAATAATAATAATAATAATAATAATAATAATAATAATAGTAGTAATAATAATACGACTGCCATCGAAGAGACGTTAACATTTGTTTTATTTGTCTCACCTGTGAATGATCCTAATGTAACGCGTCCCCCAGCATTGAATGAAAGGAATCAACATAATCAAAGTAAAAGAAATCTACGTTCAACTGGGAAGAATAACACCACGTCAGATATGAAAAATGCTACAGAAACCATTTCAACTTCTTCTCCTTGGAGTGAGACACGGTGTGTGGTGTTTGAACTTCCACTTCACGAAGTACAGGCAACACAAACCAAAGCCATACAGACATTACAATTAATGCAAGGTTCTCCTATGATGTCTACAGTGGTAGCCGCAGATGATGGAGAAGAAGAAGTCCCTGTAGGGGTTGTACTTTCCCAACAATTGAATGAAGCTATGGCGGTATTAAACTCCAAAACACCTATATTGACAGTTAACAAAAAGACTAATCGTACACAAATATCAACAGAACCTCAACTTAATACTGTGTCCAATACAAATATGAGTAACTTTCCAATTACTCGACAGGGTGTTTCTATTGCTCTTTCTAATACAGCGGCTGTTCCAACAGATGTTTTTGCAGCTCCTAATGAGATTGGGGCTGTGGATGGAGTATCGGGTGAGGTCCCATTAGTGGATGATGCCAAATCAAAACTTGTGATTGGGTTTATTGAAGCCCTTATTCGTTCTGTGGTTCCTCGTGCATTAACGGATGATGATCTTATGGAACGATGTGTGCAATCACTTCTTCCACGTTGTGCGATAACTATTGAAGTAGTGCGATTCTTGTCTTCTATGACGGCTGCTGATGGAGGTAGTATCTCTCTCTTTCATCCAGGTATTCATGAGTGGTTTACCCGAGTGGCAAAGTTTGTGACAGATCATGCTTAGTTATATTTACAGAAGCAGAGTAGTAAAGGAAAGAAGAGTCTTGAGAGAAAATGATAATGCTTTTTTGTTGTTGTTGTTGTTGTTTGTTTGTTTGCTTGCTTGTTTTTCTCTTGTATATGAGAGAGTATTATCTGATGTATACATGCATATATATATATATATATATGCAGGAGCGATAAATGGGAGGTGGGGAGTAAGGGAATTAAAGAAATAAATGAGAATGGGGAATTTATTATCTATTCTCTCTCTTTTATCATTTCTATTTTTCCTTTAATCTCCTCCTTCTTGTACACAAAGCGTATGTATAGATATATACGGGACACATGCTTTTTTTTCCCCTTTTTTATTTTGGTGGAATAATTCTCAACGCGCATCTATCGTGCCTTTGAATGGTGAGGGGTAGTGTCTCTTTCTTTATTTCTTTTTTTGCTTTCTTTCTCTTGCTTGTTAGATGAGATTGAGCTTCAGATACTGATTAGTAAAAAGATTATTCTGAAGATCATTTTCTGTTACTTTATTGCTTTCTTTTTCTTCTTTTTTTCTGTTTTGGATTTCACTATTGTGTGAAAATAACCTTTTATTAGAAAGGGAGGGAAGGAAACATCAAAATAAAGAAAAGAAAAAAAAAACAGGAGTAAATAGATAGATTCAAAGAAAAGAAAAAAAAAGGGAAATAGAGCGAGGGAAAAAAAAAATATAAAATAAAAAACTATATCAAATGGCAACACACGGCATGTGGATTCACGCACAGAACATGGGAGAGCCAGTGACGTTTCTCCTTCACGATTCTGATGGAAAGGGAATGGATGCTGTGGCTTATTTAGATAAACTCTGTACTCTTCTGCGTAGTAGTGATCCCGTAAGTATCAAGGCAGAAAGTGCTTATCAGTCTCTGAGTGTATATATAAGTATGTTGGATGATGCTGATGCTGAACCTTCAAATCTAGAGAATGAAATGGAAGTTGGAATTGATGAATGGACACCATTTCATCTGGCAATTGTGGTAAAACATGCAAAAGCTGTTGCTGAACTCTTGTCATTTCATCAACAATATTCTGTTACTGTATTGGAGGATCTTTTGCGTGATAATAGTAGAGAAGCTTCACTGGAAACTGGAGCTGATGCTATTGCTGCTGCTTCTACATCTTCCACTTGTCCAGATTACCTTTTAAACTCACGAGAGTGTAGTCCTATGAAAGGAAGTTTACATCAGCAACGAAGAGGCTTAGAGATTCAGGTGCGGAATGAGTTGGGTGGAACAGTTGTCATTCTTGAAGGAACTGTAAGTAGAGGAAGTGTAAGTGTAAATGGAGGAAGTGTAAATGGATGTGGAGAAGTATGTAGTGATGAGGCTTCACGGTATTTTAGAAGGGGTATGTCGGGTTCATTATCTATTGGAGGAGAATCCAAGTATACTATTTCAACTGTAACAGGAGCATTGGGATCTCTCTTAAATTGTGTGGTGTATGAAAGAGATTATGCAAATAACTTTGATGACTACGCTGGTGCTAGTGCAATTGGTGGTGAAAATAATAATAATAATAATAATAATAATAATAATAATAATAATAATAGTAATAGTAGTAATAGTGGTGGTAATAGTGGAGTGAAGTCGGAGTCTGGATTTGTAACGCAAATTATATCTGCACACCGTGGAGCCCTTTCTGAGTATTATACACGGTTTCCAAGTCTTATTATTGATCACGATGTCCTGTATGAGGTTTGCTCTGGTGATCTGCGAATTCTCAGTAATATGTTGAAACTCTTTGCGGGTTTACTTCTCCCTGTGATAAATGGAAGGCGTATGTATTACGTTGGTAGTGGTTCACGAGGGAGTTCCACTAATACATCACCGTGGGAATCTCCACATGGTGTGGCCTTACCACGTAGTATTCAACAACAACAACCATCACATCAACAACAACATCAACAACAACAGCAGCATCAACAACATCATCATTCACATCATGCTGTACCGCAAAGCCCAATTTTATTATCCTGTGCCCCGCAGGAACACCAAAAACTTGCATTTCTTGCGTTGTGGATAAGTTTTCGTGAAACCACAACAATGGAGCGACAACCACCGGGATCCGCACGGCAAAATCGTGAGGCAACTGTTCTCAGTGACTTCCGTGTGTCATTATGGAATTTTAAAAAGGTTACTCATATAGCTCCACCAAACTCTATATGGAGTGGTCATCTTTTTGTTCTTTCTAGACTTCTCTCCCGTGATTGTGCGTTGGAAAGTTTCCTTGATATTGTTGAAGAAGGTGATTATGCCTCTTGTTCTACTGGAATTCCAGCTACCTTCATCACACTACTAGTGGCAGGAGCTGTGGTTTCGGCATTACCAAAAAGATATCATCTTCTGCAAATGTTGTATAAAAAGGTAAAAACTTTACTAGTAGATGTGCCTGGTGTATTTTCACCTCTGCGATTCTACCTCGCATCACGTCCAACGAATGACGCTGAACGTTTTGAAGAGTTATGGTTGGCCGCAACACCACTCACATCTCAAAAGAAATTCAACGCTAGGGTAGATATGCTGTATTTCGCATGTGTGGAGTCTGTATTGCTTAGTGCAGAAGAACTCTGGAGCAAACCTGATGCCTTCACTGAAAAGAACGATCGTTTAAGAGTACAGTCTGTACTGCAGGATTGGCTTAAAATGTGTCAACGGTTCCTATTGAGTTTGAAAGAAAAACCACCAAGTGGACAACAACAACGACGTGCTACATCCAAATCACCTGCAGATGATGATGTCAACCCATCCACAAAAAACTCTTTCCATTCTTCTGAAGATCATGATATTGAAGCCCTGCGCCGTTTGTGTGAGGCATTGCCCTTGCGTCTTCAACATGGTGAACCGCCATTACCGGCATTTTACAAATTTCTATACCCGCAAACAGATACTAATACTACTACTACTACAGGTTCTGGTTCTAGTGTTGCTGGAGTATCGGATGTAGTTAATGCTAATGGAAAGAATACTGTTGGATCTGATGTGGAATCTGCCTTTGAGGCTGCTCAGTTTGCCTTCTCAAGGATGGCAGCATCCGCCAGTAACGACATCAAACTCAAGTTCTACGGTCTCTACAAACAGGCGACTGTGGGAGACATTAATGTCTCCAGGCCATGGATGGTGGATGTTGTTGGATGTGCAAAGTGGGATGCGTGGAATGCACTCAAAGGAATGACCACAGAAGCAGCAAAGCGACAGTATGTGGAGGATCTACAAGAACTGCAAAGTTCACAACCAAAGACCCAGTAAGTGCGGCAACGCATTCAGAAGGAGGAAGAGAGGAAGAGGAAGAGGAAGGAAGTGAAAAAATGAAAAAAAAAAAAAAGCAAAAAAAAAAAGGAAGAAACAGTAGAAGAAAGAGAAACAAAAAAGAAAAAAGAAAAAGAAAGCAAAATAAACTGAAAAAAATCAAAAGAGAAAAGTCTGGGGAAAGGTTTCAGAAAAGAAGATATGTGAGAAAAGATATTTGGAGGATATTGGCATACAATAGGGGTGGGTAGAGTGCAAAATAAAAGTACAGAGTAAAAGAACCTTTTTGTTACAACTCACGTTTACTGGAAGGCTTACATCCACCGATATTCTTCCAGCAGTTGAAGAATATAAGATCACCATAAAGAATCAATACACCGCATAACTTTTACCTAAACAAATAAAAACAGACTATTATTGTCTCCGTACGAGTCAAAACAACACACAACCGTGCTACAAGAAGGAAAAAGGAAACTCCATCCATCTTGTTTCTGCATCATTATCCAGCAATCTCTGCAGTTTGTTTCTTACGTTACATTTTTTTTTTTTTTGTTTTTTACAACAACACTCTTAATTATCATTCCATATCAACCTTGTACACATACACTACATAAAAAACAAGAAAAAAAAACATTCACATCTTTTTTTTCTTTTATTACACCCTCTCATTGCATTCCATCCAAAGCACAAGCAAGAATTTAATCCAAATCAAAAAAAAGAATTTAAAAAGAAAAACAAAACAAATGTCTGAAAAACGCCCTCGTGAATCAGGTGAGGTGGAAGTGGAGCCACTGCTGCGCGAGAACCCAGACCGCTATGTCTTATTTCCTATCAAGTACCACGACGTCTGGCAGAAATACAAGGAGGCCGAGAGCAGTATCTGGACAGTGGAGGAGATTGATCTGGGCAATGATATGGTGGACTGGGAGAAGCTGAACGATGGGGAACGACACTTCATCAAGCACGTCCTTGCGTTCTTCGCTGCGAGTGACGGAATTGTGCTGGAGAACTTGGCACAGCGCTTCATGACAGAGGTGCAGGTGCCTGAAGTGCGCTGCTTCTACGGGTTCCAGATCGCCATTGAGAATGTGCACTCCGAGACGTACTCAGTGCTGCTGGATACGTACATCACCGACTTGGTAGAGAAGGATCGTCTTCTGCATGCCATCTCAACGATTCCATGTATCCAGAAGAAGGCGGAGTGGGCGATCCGGTGGATCCGCAGTGCCGACTCGTTCGCAGAGCGTCTCGTTGCATTCGCCGCGGTGGAGGGTATATTCTTCTCTGGCTCATTCTGCGCACTGTTCTGGCTGAAGAAGCGTGGTCTGATGCCCGGACTGACGTTCAGCAACGAGCTCATCTCGCGGGATGAGGGTCTGCATACCGACTTTGCGTGCCTCTTGTATGAGAACTACATTGTCAACAAGCTGCCAAAGGAGCGAATCCATGAGATCATCCTCGAGGCGGTGGAGATCGAGCGCGAGTTCATCTGCGATGCGCTTCCAGTGCGACTGATCGGGATGAACTCGGATCTCATGGCAACATACATTGAATTCGTGGCGGACCGACTGCTGGTCGCACTTGGCAACGAACGACATTACAAATCAAAGAATCCGTTTGACTTTATGGAGATGATTTCGTTGCAGGGCAAGACGAACTTCTTTGAGAAGAAGGTTGGTGAGTACCAGAAGGCGGGCGTGATGAGCGCGGATGGTAGCACCAAGGTTTTCTCACTGGACACGGATTTCTAGTTTTCGTGATTTCGTCATGTGATTTTTTTTGTTTTCTCTCTTGCCTTCTGAATATGTCTGTTTTTTGTAGACTGTGTGTTTGATAAACTTTTTTTTTTCTTTTGTTTAATCTCTTCTGAGAATATTTATATCCCTGCGATTAGTACATATGTTATATGGTTGAATCGTGTGGTAATTGATTTTATTTCTTTTTTATCTTGTAGAAATGTTTACTGTGTGGGAAAGAAAAAAAAAAACAGTGGTAACGCTTCAGAAGGCTTTTTTTTTGTTTCTGATTGTTTTTCTTTTTTTTCTTTTACTGTTCGATTTTTTTTTTTTTTTTTTCCTCTCCACGCGGAGTGTACTGGCGAGGAGGTATTCTAGAAGTAATCACTTTGTTAGTAGCACTAGGTGATGCCTCTAGTAGCTTATAGAGTAGGATTGATTGTTTTTTTTTTTTTCCATCGTTTCAGAGTTGTTACTGTTTGGCTGATAGAGAGCACTAGGCTATAGATAAAAATTTCCATATATATTTTTTTATCATTAAAAGGGTTGTGATCAAATCAGGAAGGATGTGATTTAGTCTATCTGTTTTCTATTTTGTTTCTCAAGTCTTGGCGGTTTTCGGTTTATTGTGTGTTTGTTCCTCTCTTTTTGAGTAAAAGGAAATTATCTTTGTTGGTGGTTGTTCCGATTGTGGTATGCCGGTGTGAATGGGGATGTGCGGGTTTGTTGGATGGAGGGCAGTGACCTTTTATTTTTATTTTCTTTAGCACTTCTCTTCTTCTTGGTGAAGTTGATTGTCAACAAAATGTTTAAAATGGGTGGGATATAAAGGAAAAAAGAAGAACAGAGTGATGAAATAGGGGCAATTGGGTGATTTTATCTTTTTTTTTCTATTTTTCAATGGTATTTTTTGTTCTTTTTTTTTTTTTTTAATATGGTCATCATTTTTTTTTTTTTGTGACCATTCGGTATTTGTTTTTTTCTTTTCACTGTCTTTTCTTTTTTTTTCTACTGATTCTCGCGCAAGAAAGACACGTGGCTCATATTTCCTGATTTTCTTTGTTGTTGTTGTTGTTGTTATTATTTTTTTTTTCTTTTTTCATTATTTTTTTTTTTTTTTGCCACTAATCACGTTGCGGTACCTGTAAGCTACGCAGTAGGTGTGTAGGTCCTCTTATCCCTATCTCATTTCCCAGTCCCTCAATCTATCTTTACATCTAATCTATATATATATATATATATTACTTATCCGTCTCCATGTCTCTGGAAGGCAATCTTCGCCCGATGAACCCCGAGGGGTGGACCACGCGGCAACTCATCTCCTACGCCGAGTTACACAATTTACGAGTCCCAGAGGCGGGTACTGTCATCTCACGAGAGCAACGATCGGAACTTCTTCAGAGTGTGCAGTCCGATCTATTTAGTTTCTATGATAAATATAGCGATAAGGAGGAGGTGGGGGAGGCATCAGGTTCACTGCGGCGTAATGATTTCTCATTGCCAAGTAAAAATTTCAACCCACTCGCTCATTGCGATTATGCAGAGTGGTTTCGTGCGAGTCCGGAGGAGATACTTAAGCGCCGTGCCCATCCCAGCATGGCGCGGTGGCTTCGTGAGCATCCAGAGATACTACACAACATTATCACTGCTGGACTCAATGAACTGAAAGAGAAACCTCTTCGTGGCTTCTATGATGCTGGAAGACTACCATCGCTGGAATGGTGGTTGCGATTTACGTTGGGTAGTGAAGGGGAACAAATATTAGAAGAGTCGGAAAACACGTCTCGTGTATGTGGGAAGAAATTATCAAGGCTTGAAGCCATAGTCACATGTTTGGAATGTCGAGTGGATGAGCAGTGTGTGTTATGTGCGGATTGCTTTCAAAACTCACCTTGCAGAAATCATAAACATGTGGTCACGCATGGGAGTGGTGGTGGTATTTGTGATTGTGGTGATCCAGGAGCATGGAATCCGGAATCTTTCTGTACAAAACATCGTGGTTTTCAAAAAAATGATGATCCCACAGCTAGTATGAAACCTGTAGAGAAAAGATGGTTAGAGGTGGAGACTAGTGGATTACTGCTCTATCAAATCACAATTATGCAAAAATTTATGCAAGAGGTATATGCTCTGAATAGTAATGATGATGATAATAAATGGGCTTTAAGCTGGATAGATCGTCTTTTACGACGAACCGTTTCAGATACGCTCTTTTTGGCTACTAAGGCGGAATCCACAAGACGTATGTTATGTATTGCTTTAATGCAAAAGACATGTATGAGTAGTCTAATCAAAAATAAGCGAAAAAAGAGATTGGAGAATAGTGAAGAAACTGAGACACATGTCTTCTTTTCATGTCTAGAAGAAATGTTTCTTAATGATATTGAAATTGAAAAAACTAGGATTATTATTTGGGAAGAATCTCTTTTACTTTTAGTGGATAGCTGCATTTCTGATCCATTACTTCGTGTTCCCTTTGCAGAATTATTACTTAAGTATGGTGAGAGACTTTCCTTACAAATTAATCGACATGTGGCTTCATTATCTGTTCAGGTTTTAACTGCGAAAGATGTTGTAGATGCCCTTCTTCAGCGATTACCTCATCCATATTGGGAAAGTGTACTTGGTCAAGAGACCATTCTACACCGACAATTGTCTGTTATGTTGTATGTATGTTGTCATATTAAAAACGATACGGCGCTGCGATATGATTTCAATCAAATGACTGTACGTTGTGCCAATCATTTTAGAGAAGTTATTACGGCATCGGAAAATACTAAAGCTTTAGTCGTCTCACGTCTTCTTTTTCGTGCCTGGTATAAATTATTGACAATGATTGGTAGTACAAGTACGGTACAGAAGTGTGATCCAGAATCGGTTTCATCGGAAAGATATGCGGTTGTTCGTGATTACGCGATGGTATTGGATCTTGAATTGCATGATGTCTTATATCCTATAGGGAAAATGGTCCATAGTATCTGTTCAGCCTTACAAACCGGAAATGAACCTATTCCACAATGGTTAAATGAGACACTCTTATCATTACCACCAAAGTGGGCGAAAGTACCAGATCCAGCTGCGTATTATTCTTCTCATCGTGAAGTACTTAATGCACTTACTTTAAAAAATGCATCTACATTATTGTATGATATTAATAATATGAATGAAAGATTTAAAGCATCTCGGGAGTATATGCGGGGAATTCTTTTGGAATCTATGAATGCTACTAATAGTATTCTGACAGAAAAACGAAGTGCCTTTTTACCCAAAGTATTTGTTCTTAACGGCGTGGATGATGAAAATCGGCTATCGTACTACAATCCACAAGATAGTTTAGCTACCAATCCAGCATCCTTTACTATACCTCATATGCGTTTTCTTGGAGTACTTATTAAAATATGGGAAAGAGTTTTGCAAGAGAAACAAGAGCAGCAGCAGCAGCAGCAGCAGGAGAAGAAGAAGAATCAAAAAGAAAAACAATTAGACCTATTAAGTGGTAATAGAGTTGATGAATATTTTTATTCTCTTGTTTCTGAAGTTTTTGAAGCCACACAATCGTCTGCGGAGTATTGGATTGATGAATGTCTTATGCCAATTGTTTTATTGGGACAAGTTGAACAGGGATTATGGAATGGACCTCTTTATGGTATGGATGAACGATGTGCATGCTATATGAACTTTTCCTCTCTTTATGTGGAAACAGATATTTATATGCTACAAATACTTTTATTGTTAGTTCCAACAGAAAAATATGCTATTCAACTCTTACAACGACATATTGGAAATGTAGAAAATTCTTCAGATTTGTGGTATTCATCATTTCTACGTCTTATTCTCACAATAGCAACAACTCAAAATAATCCTGCTATTGTGGAAGAGTCTGATCTCAGACAGGCATTGCGAGAGAAAATGTTGTATACTATGGTAACAACACCTGAATATACTTTCCGAATGTTACTTCGGTCTATTCATGGATTTTCATACGCTTTACCAGGTGTAGATTGTGATGCAATGCATTGCTCTATCCTAAAAGAAATAGCTGTACAAGAGCATAGACAAAGTGGACAAGTCTTTCGAGTAAAAGATGCGGCGACGTGGCGAGCCAATGTGAACCTTTATCATCCTCTCATTCGAGATCAACACTTGTATGATATGCATGATTTATTTAGTCGACTTGTACGGCGAGAGAGAATGATGCAGGAACGGGAACGACGAATGGAAGAAACATCACAAGAACCGGTCGTCTCATTTCCTCCTCCTAATCCTAAGTGGATTGAAAATGATCGAGAGCAACAACAACAGCAACAGCAGCAACAACAACAAAGGACTCTTGATTTGGGTCCAGAGTTTCGTCATAAAATATGTCTTTTACTACAGACGACAGCAGTACTCTCTGTTGCTATTCATACAATACATTTATATTTGTTTTTTGAGGTGAAACGAGATTCTGGAAAGAGTAGTGGACATATAACAGTGAATGTACTTATTCATGCCATTACCGTACTTTATCTTTCTATGAAAGCCTGTAAAGAAATAAGTTCCATGACTTCAACTGCTGATTCTGCAGGAATGATTGACTGGGATGCGGTAAGTTTGTTTCAGCAACAGTTTATGCCACCATCTGGGTATAAGTATGAAGATTTAAAGCAATTATATCCTGTAAAAGAAATTATGTCAGCAATAACATTAAAGGAAAAACTTAATATTCCCGTGAGTGTACATAAATCTGTAAAAAATACAACAACCATTGACGCTTTACAGACTCTTCGTACCTACATTAAGGAAGGAAAATCCGATTTTAACAGTCTTGTGTTAATGCTGGAGTTTATTCTTACTGGTGTGGGTGCATTATCTCCATCCAGTATAGAGGCAAAGGCGTCTCTAGAGAAGACGCAAAATGAAGAAGAGAACCAACGACGTCAGCGCTTAAAGGAAAAGCAAGCTGCATTATTGCGTCGTGTGAGAGCGAGTGATACAAAAAGTTTTGAAGAAGTACAAAATGTGCTCGAACGTGAAGTTAAGAGTGATAAGAAGAGCAATCAAAGTAGTTTAGATGGTATTACTACTACTACTACTACTACTATGATGACTACTAAAAAGAACCATAATAATAATAATGATGATGATGTTGATGGTGATGATAACAACAGGGAAACCTCCTCCGTTGTGGCTAGACTTCTTTTCCGCCTTGCGGGAGTGGAGTGTTGTATTTGCCGCGATACCACAGATCATCCACTGTTGTTATTTGCACACACCTCCAGCTCAGATACACTGTACCGCCTCGGATTTCATACAGGAGAAAGTAATGAAAAGGATGTACGTAAAATTCATGGAAATCTACATCTCTGTGGTCATGCAGCACACAAAAACTGTGTGGCGAAAACATTTGGTCGACTTGCTCGCTTCTGGGAATTAAGTAGAAATTCACTTCTCTCAACAAATCTTTGCCCATCTGAATTTAATTGTCCAATTTGTGTTATGATTTGCACTACCCTTTGTCCATTACCGGCATTAAAACTACATGTGAAACAACCTGTTTCCTTGTTGAGTGCCACTCCCTCTTCTTCATTGTTTGATGCCGTTCGCAGTGAAACTTTGGATACGATTATGGGCCACACACCAACAGCTGGAGTACTTGCAGCTATGCGAAAAGTCATTGCACGGGCCTCCGTTGGTCTTCCAACGTCGTATACAAAAGAAGAAGTTCCTTTAATGGATCCAACAAAGTTACAGAAGGAAAATCCAACTGTATGGGAAATTTCAGAAACCCTGCGGTGTATTCGATATCAAATGTATGTGGATCTTGAGTGGGTAAAGGCAGGTGGTGTACTGCAGTATAATGAGTTGTTAACACTTCTCAGTTTACTTATTTCATTTGATATAAAATTACTTGAATCCAATGCTCAACTGCTTCATCAGGAGTTTAAGAAAGATAGTGATGTATTTTTTACATTCCTTTTGAAAGTCCTGTTGAACCCAAAAGAGGCAGTGACGTCTCTGGTTCAACATACAAAAATGCTTATTATTTCCTGCTTTAGTGGATACTTTAATGGACCTGAATCTTTTAAAGAATACGATTCTTGTATTCTCACTCATACTCAATCAGCAGAAGGTAACAATGAATATAATGAGTTACTTATCGCACTTTGGCGTGAACTAGGTTGTCTTACATTACTTAAAGTATTACTTGTGGATGGGACCCCAATGCAATTATTACACATTAAGGAAGAAAAAATAACTCTTAAACCATTAGAGGCGGATGAAATTACCACATTATCTGGTCGACAACGTGCTGTGCTCCTAATGTTGTGCTATCTATTGGAGGATAAACAACAACTTCTATACAGTTTAGAAGTGGAGGATCCTGGTACCGCACTGGCCTCTCTACTACAGTCAGTGGTAGATTGTGAAAAGAAAGCATGTAAGAATATCTTGAATCCTCGTAAAGGAGAAATCATACGTTCTAAAATGATCTCATTACCATATGATGGACCTGTCGCATGGAGACAATGTATTCTGCATCATCTATTTCACCTTGAAAATACAGTGGGGGAAATGATTCTTAAAATGAGTTCAGTGGAGCGTTGCAGTGTATGTGGAGATACGGAATCACGACGTGTGATGTGTTGTTTTTGTGGTCAACGTCTCTGTGCACGTCCATCATTTGGTCCACCTGAACTCTATGCACATACACTGAAATGTGGTAATGGAGTAGGAGTTTACTTTAAGGGAGGAGAAAATGCTTTTCTAGTACTTCTTGCTGTTCCTGGTCGTTATTTATCCTATCCGGGTCTTTACATTGATGAATATGGTCAGGGAGATCTTCGCATGTTTCGCAATCATCTTGTGACGATTGGTGATGAGGCGGCGAAAACGTGGATTTCGCTTTGGATGCGCTCTCGCTGGGGTGTGGAATCCTTTGTTGTGAGACGATTGGTAAGAACGCACCTGGATCGTATGTAAAGAAAATGTTTGTGTGTTTGTGTGTGTGGACTGTGTGGGATGGAAGGGGAGTGAGTAGAAAGAAGTATAATGAGCGGCAACCAGAAAGAAAAGGATAACGAGGGAGAAAAGAAAAATAATATTTAAAAAAAAAAAGAAAAGGATAAACAGATAGTTGAAATTGTGTTACAACTAACATAAGAGTAGGAAAGTTGTCTTTGTTTTTTTTTTTTTTTTTAGTTGTTTTGAAGTTCGAATAGAAGAAAAAAAATAATATCTTATACGGTGCCTAGTTTTAATAAGAATAGTTGATGTGTTCAAATATTTCGAAGTGAACAAGAATACATCTCCCTGCGATATGATGATGATGATACTATTAGTAGTAGTAGTAGTCGTAGTGATGGTGGGTACAGGTTTTTCACAATACACTCTTTTCATATATCAATGTGTTCTCTGTTGTTTATTTGTTTCTTTGTTTGTTTGTTTTTCTGGGATTTTTCTATTTGTTTTGATGTATTATAACTTGGAGTAGACTCTATATATATATATATATATATATATATATATATATATAGGGAGAGAGAAAAAGAGAACACAAGTCTAAGAAACAAAAAAAAAATACTTAAAGAAAAATAAAGAAGGGCAAACTGTCTTTCGTACCGTGTGTAGAAGATAATTGGCGGTGTCCCCGCCAGCGAGAGGAGGACGCGAATATACTTTGGACAGCACGTCGTCTTGCATTTCTCGCTGGTCGTGTAGATGAGGCCTACAGACTACTTCAAACACATGTACTGCAGGAGAAGAACTCATTTTCTGCACACCGGGAGTGGAAAGAGGCTGCCATGATACTTCTCTCACTTCACTCTCAATGTGATGTGGAGCAGTGGTGCTCATCTGGACTTTTACCTTTGCCAACACCAGATGCTCGTGCCACTGTTGGGAAAATGGATAGCTTGACGTATTATCATTGCATGCTTTTCTGGGCGAGACTCTCACGTCTGATTATTATACAGTCTCAGGAAGAAAAAGAAAAAGAAGAAGGAGGAGGAAAAGAGAGAAAGACTCTTCTTACACCTAAGGAAGCGAGTGAAACATTATATTTTATTCTGAATAACATCTGTTGTGTGCGGCTCACAGAGACACCACGTTGCCTTCCTATTTGGCGTCTCTTGCAGGAAATACTTGCGGAGTTGCTTTTATTAGGTAACAATGGTCTCAGCAACAACAGCAGCAGTAATAATAATAATAATATGAATGCTTCTTCTTCTTTTTTTGCAAGTAGTGTAGTGCAGCGTATGTCGGATTACCTCCGTTGTTATATCATTCGTTACTTGGAAATGCGTGATCGCCCGTTAGAAGGACAGTGTGGATTACTTCATTATCGAAGTATATTTCTGCGAGAGTTTGGAGGTATGAATGGTGGTGATAGTGTAAATATTGAAAAAGAAGTGGAACAGCAACTACCTATACTCTCTGCGAGTGATGTATGTAAGGCATTGCAAGAGTTGTGTGGTGGTGGTGTTGTTGATAGCTGTAATTCCATTGAGGAGATTTCCCTTGCCTCAAATAGTAATGTTAATGGTGATGATAATGATACTTGTGTTACTTGTACATCTACTGAGACTCCATTGGAGTTTTTTGTAAATCATTACTTCCTCCGCAGTTCTCCCGAAGCGTTTGATCGTGTTGGTAAGACAGAATAATAATATTTCTGTATCTTTTTCTCTCCATCTATTTATCTATTTATCTATTCTCACACATAAACATGCGTTTAAAGATGATTATACGGACACATGTCCAAAGACGAGAAAGCAAAAAAAAAAAAAAAAACTCTTTTGTTTGTTCCTTTCGTTTTTTTTTTTTTTTTTTTTTTTTGATTGATACACGTTTGAGAGTTCTATTGGAGAGGTCTGGTTCTTTGTGGTTTCTCGTTTTATCTAATTGCATGTTTCTTGTATGAGAATATGTGTTATACACATGTACTCTCTCACTATTTCTTTTTTTTCCTGTTTTTTTTTTTATTGTTATTTGGTTCGGTTGATCTAATACCTAATCAGTAGTGCAGTGTGGTGGGTCTCTTTAGTTTCGTTTCTTCGCTTTTAAGCATAGACACACTCACATACACACAGGGAGGGAGAGAAGGAGGAGAGAAAACGAGGTTGGTGGAAATATATATATATATACTCATACCCCGGCGGAGGAAACCCAAAGAAAGAAAGAAAGAAAGAAAAAACAAAATAAGAAGGAAAGGATAGTAGAAAGAAAGAGGGAGAAAGACACACGAAAAGTATGTTCACAGACAGTGCCGCGAGTGTTTCACCTGCCTTTGAAGATGTACTGCCGGAGGAGCCGCACACCACCGCCAAGCGGCGTGAGATCTGCCAATCATTTCAACACGGTAAATGTCGTCTCGGTGCGGCCTGTCCCGAACGCCACGTCCTCTCGCAATTCAAAACGATGCGATTGGAGGTGTGTAAACATTGGCTGCGTGGGGCCTGCGTGAATGGTGAGAATTGTCTCTACCTCCACGCCTATGATGATCGCTATGTGCCCGCGTGTGCCTTCTATCAACGCCTTGGGGAGTGCACAAACCCGGAGTGTCCCTTCCAGCACGTGGCGCAGGCACAACAGCAACAACAACAGCCGGAGTGTGCGGCGTATCGCCGTGGCTTCTGTCCACGTGGCCCGCAGTGTCATTTGCGGCATGTGCAGCGGGAGGCGTGTGTATATTATCTCGCCGGCTTCTGTCCACTTGGCCCACGTTGTCCCTTTGGACATCCCGTGCAGGAGTTGTACAACCGCAATGCGGTGGCGGAGCGGCTGCGGCAGCGAATGTTGATAGAACGTGCGGATGATCCCACATTTAATAAGAACGCGACATGTTATCGCTGCTTTGATCCTGGGCATCTCGCACCAAAGTGTCCTGGAGTCCAGAATGGTATTCTGCGACGACTCTTACTTACAGTGCAGGAACCTGGGGAGCAGTTGTACTTTCAGAGTGATGGGCGAACCACGCGGAAGTGTTGTTTTTTCTGTGGAGAAGAGGGACATGAGGTTCGGGATTGCCCGAAGAAGTCTAAGAGTCATCAAGGACATGCGTGGCATAATCATCGCCGTGGAGATATGGCTGGGAGGTGAAAAGAGCATCTTGTGTGATTCACTCCCATACATGCATACACATACATACAGGTGGTATTCCTTGTTGTTATTCTTATTGTTGTTATTGTCGTGTTTTTATTTATTTATTTTTGTTGTACGCGTTTGGTACTTCTCTGTACTATGGATTCTGTTTATTCTTGTTTATTTATTCTTTGTTTTTTTTTTTTTCATTCATTCTTTTTTTTTCTTTTGGTTTTTTTTTTTTCTTTGTTGGTATTATATATATTATATTATATATATATATATATATATATATTATATTTTTTATTATTCAAGACTTTTGCGTTCTGTCATGAGGCGCTGTGGTCTCTGTTATCGCCGGGTTGTACGGCGCTATTCCCATGGCACTAGTCAAACAGTACGAAAGCAGCAAGAAACAGCCATCACGGCAACTCTAACTGAGACTGAGAGAGAAGCTGCCGCCCTCGCATGTCGTCTCTTAGATAGACACCGACATAAACAACAACAAGAAAAAGAAAAAGAAAAAGAAGAACGCTTAACAGTAGACTCAGTGGGGTTGTTTAACCGAAAACCGGCTGTTGATGCTCTCACCGGTTATGGTAAGGCATTTGTTATGGCAAGCGTGGCACATGCCACAGATGCGTCTTCCACAAGTACGCAAGACTTAATAGATGCTACAGATAAAAAATGGGATACGTTAACACTACAGGGAAAAGTCTCCGCTGCACTTGGGGCTGCTAGTAATAAGGAGATTGCCCGTACGGTGGTACGAAGTGCACGTTCCATCTCATCTGTGCGGTTACCCAAGAAAACTCCATGTAATACAACTTCATTTGATCTTCTACTGCAACGATATGGGAGTGTGATACCAGACAAAAACAGCAGAAACAATAAAACTTCTTGTACACCTCATATTCCACGTGGTTGGCAGGTAAATGTTCATTCTACTATTATGCAGGGAAGAAGTACACTGCGGAGTGTACTCGCACGCAAGGAACGGTATGAACGTCGTGAGGAGTGGTCTCGTGTATGGAAATCTCAGTTACCAGATGAGATTGGTGATTCTATAGAAGTGGAAGGGGAAGGGAGTGTTGGAAGTAAACTCTTCAGTCAAACTAGCAACAACAACAACAATAGCAGCAGCAGCGATGAGAATAAGGAGAAGAAAAAGAATAACAAGAATAGAAATACCCCCAATCTCTGTCTCTCACCAGTTTTTCGTCGACACTTTCTTGACTTTGGTAGTCATTCACAGGGTCCATCGGCATTCCTCACAGATCCAGCGATGTATTACATGTTGAGCCATCTGCGTTTAACGGGTGAGGAATCACTTTTAGAAGTGCGCCGTAAAGCTGAGTCCCTTACCCACCGCTACAATGAGTATGCGAAGATTTCATGATTCCAACCTTTACCATAGACGTTTAGTTGGTTTCTTTCTTTCTTCCTTCCTTCCTTGTGGTTTGGTTTGGTATTCGTCTCTTCATACTTCTTATATTTTTTTCTCTCTCTCTTCATTTGGGCCAACTTGCAAAATCTTTCTCTCTTTCTTTATCTCTCACTTTCTTCTTTATGCTCGTTACAGCAGCTAAGAGTGTGGTAACGACAGTAGAGAGAGTGGGAGAAAAAAAAAAAAAAACGAGATAATGCAAACAAGAAAGCCTTCACATAGAGTGCCTTAAGAAGAAGAAGAAGGTGGGAAAACTCTTTCTGTTTCTTTTCCTTCTACTACTACTATTAACACTAATAGTAATAGTAATAGTAGTAGTACGAGTCACGTTAGAAGTAGAAACAGTAAGAAGAGAAGCCTTAATGGAAATGATGGTGGTTGAATGGTGTTAGACTAATTTTACTAAATTCACCCGCCGTGTCACCACATTTTTAATGTTTCCGTTTTCTCTCATTATTCCTTCTATGGCGTTTTTTTTTTTTTTTTTTTTTCTTTTTCTTTCTTTTTCAATCGTTACAGTCTTAGATGTCCACTTTCCTATTGTTGTTCATATATATCTATTTGTCTGTATATGAGTCTGTGTCTGTATTTCCTAATATGAATGCGGTTCTTTCTCTTTTTCTCTCTTAATATTTTAATATTACCGTTGATGTACAGTATTTACATTTTTGTTTTCCATTTCCACACAGTGAATATCAGCGTTAGAAGTGCACCTCTTGGCGCAGATTTTACATTGTGAAGTACATCCCTATTTTCAATTTATATATATATTTATATATATTTGTATATTTAATAAAAGGTATACTCTAGTAAGGGATGACTCAGGCCTCTACTTCCGTTCTCTCTAATTCCCCAAAGTTGTTTGAACAGCAGGACGGATTTGAAGATATTCGTGTTTCTATTGAACGCATTCAACTCCTGTTAGAACGTGGGGAGACACTTCTGTATGGTGAGGAGGTACAACGTGAACTCTTTCCCACATGTGCCTCTCACAATAATGCCGCCGTTGCCGCTGGAAATGGGAAAAACATATATCAACCAGAAGAGAAAAAGAAGAAGCCTCAATTTAAGCAGAACTCTCCGCAACAACAAAAACTAATGTATCAGAATGGTGGAAGTAAAGTACCACAGCAAGGAAGTTCACCTTTTAATGCTGATATTATGAATAAGAAAGATTATATGACACAACGAAGTGTATTAAGGAGAAAAAATGCAGATTCCTTAACCACAACACCACAGCAACAAAGTGTTTCCCCTGGAAATGGTGAATTATCTAAGAGTACCAATAGTAAATTATCAAAAAGTTCAAATCGCTCTGTTAAGTTAAAGCGACTAGGGAAGGATATGCATGAGTGTGATGATGATGATCGAGAGGATATCTCTATTGAGGAACTACTCGTGCGTATTCGTCGAGAATTGCAGGAATATCGCAGCAGGAACAATCATTCATTGCTCCGTAAATCCCCTATGGCACCTCACGCCTCGCTCTAATCTCCAGAAAAAAATAAAAGAAAAAAAAAAGAAAAAAGTATCATTGGAATTACTTAATGAATCCGGATTTATATCGGTGTAATTGAGTTTCTTTGAGTATGTACGATACTATATTATATATATATATATATATATATATATATATATATATATATCGTTTTTTTTTTTGCTGCTTATTATTACTTTTATTGGTATTAATGATTATTTTTGTTCTTCTTTCGTATATGTGCCTTCTTTTTTTTTTTTCTTTACATCTTTCTGGATGTGTGTATTTGGGCCTCTCTTCCATTTTTTTTTTTTTTTTTTGCTGCTTACTGGTTCGTCTGGTCTTGCTACATCTCAGGTGGTTTTCACTCTCTATCTATCTATCTAGCTGCTTATTTGTGGGTGTGTTGTTGTTGTTTCTTTTTTTTTGTTTTTTGTCTTGTTTTTGTTTTTTTTGTTCCTTGCTTTTAAATTGTCAGTGTCAAAGCATACAGGTAAAGCTAACTCCATTTGTGTAATCTTTACGGGTATGAGCTTACCAGAGTAATAGATTGATCTGACGTTGGTAAAGTACACGTAGTCTTCCTTTTCCCTTGTTTTTGTTCACTGATGTTTGTATAATGAACGGGATAAACCTTTGCTACCCACAGGAAATTATCAATCAGATAGTGGATTTTTGCATGCGTAACAATGTATAACCGAATAGGGGAAAAAAAGGAAATATATATATATATATAATTTATTTATATAGAGGTGTCTAAAGTTTGCATCTTAAGGAATAAGAAAAAGGAGAAGAAAGAATATCTTTAGCAAAAAAGAATTATACAGCTAAGGTTTCTAAAAATACATATTCTTGTATTGTATCTTCTTTATATACTGTATTCATATCATCTCTTAATAATTATATGAATGAATCTCCATTCCGTGGTGTATCACCAGGGTGTACTAAAAAAGACTGGGTGAACTAAAAAAAAAAAAAAGGAGGATACAATATAATGGAATCAGTAGTATCGTCCCTGTGTGTTGGGGTACTGTTCTAACTGATTGAATTTCTCGAAACATGGAGTAAAAGTAAAAGAATACAAGAAAGAAGAGAAACATCATATTGGATTATCTTTAATATTCTCTCTTTCTGTTATTGTTATTTTTCTCGATGATTATTATGCTGGTACTATTATTATTTGCTTCCATCACTTTATTCCCTCGTAACAGAATTTTTTCCATCAATGTGATTATTATTCTTACTATTACCAGCAGCAATACATAAATGATATAGACGTTTATATATATATATATATATATAAACCTTCTATCTATGAGGCTGTGTTCTTTAGTTCCCTATATTATTACTTGCTGTTTGATCTACTATTACTGTTGTTACCACTACTGTTATTATTATTATTATTATTATTACTCTTCGACATGTTTTCAATATTTCCTTTTTCTTTTCTTTTCTTACCGATATTCTACTTGTTAGGACTTGGATATTCTACGCCTTTCCACAACGAAACCGTTGGATTTGTACAAGTTATAATAAGAACACATTATTATAGAGGGGTTGATACTGTCAATACTTTAGTTTTTTTTTTCATTTAGTCTTAGTGTCTATTCCTGCCTTTGTCTTTCCTTCACTCCCAGTACATCACTCTCATTGCACCGAAAATAAGTAACTGAACGAGCAAGTAATATATATATATATATAGCTTATTTATAGTGTAGATACCCCTCTCTTCTGATTCCCACATACACACACACACACCCTTGGCCATTTAGTTCTTGTTACTCGTTTATTTGCGTGGTTTAATACAGGTGTCAGACGCGCTTGTATTTAAATAGCTTATATTTAGGCTTGCTTTTGGTTTCCTGTACGTATTTTTACATAGTTATTTGAGCAAATAAAAAAGAGTCCCAAACAACGGAACGAGCAAACGGCTGAGACACGATAGCTGCAATATAATTTTTATAAAAGGAGCGGTAAGAAAAATAAAATAAGGTTTCTGTCAGTAAGCATCGTGTTGGACTAGTTTTTTTTTTTTTTTCGTTTTTTGTTTTTGTTTTTTCGTTTTTAACCCTCTCCCATCTCCGTGACTACGCTGGGTGTTAAAGCAATCCAATCTAATTCAAACCTGAGACGACTGCGGAGCAGGTGAAGGGATAATGAAGCGGAGTTCATTCCAAGATGTCGAGAGGAAATCGGGTGAACTCGACCCGTCTATTCGACAGACGCAGGAGTTTGAGGATATTCGTTTTTCCATTTCTCGGATTGAGGAACTGCTGGAGCACGGTCAGTCCCTCCTCTACGATCAACATACTGAGAAAGGGGCGGTGGTGTCTCCTACCGTCTCCGACGGGGAGCCAACACTCAAGCGCGGGACGAGTTTCCCTTCCACAACATCACCCCAAGACGATCCACATGCGAAAAAGAAGGAAAGAAAAGGCTCGAAGATGACGGAGCGACCGGAGAAGGTACGACTGCGGACTGTGGGGATGGCCGGGCGGTCTCGTGGGGGGACTCCCGCTTCCTTCTCGCTGGGCCTGCGGCGGCCCGTTGCTCGTCGGCGGGGTACGGAAGGGGAAATGACGGCGCCGAGTGAAGACTCCGTCATGGAGGAAGTCTCCGTTGAGGAGCTGCGCCGACGCATTCATGCAGAGTTAGAGGAGTATCGCCGTCATGGTCCTTTGACGCAGTGGAAACCGCAACCGGTAGGAGGGGAACCTAGACAGCGGGTAGAGCGTGTAAACCCTCGGCGTCGAGGACAAAGATTGTATACTCCTTCAGTACGGAAAGAAATGAAACCGGTTACTCCACAAACAAAAGAGATTGCAACACGCGCTCCCAGGGGAGTGAACTCGTTTGGAGTTGCAAAAGGCAGTAACAATCATATCAATAATACCAACAATCATAACAAGAAGAATACTGTTGGCCTTCCCAATAGATCACCCAATACATTACGAGATGTACATCAGCAACAGCGACAGCAACAAAATCGTTCACCTGCATGGGAAAGGCTATATGATGATGCTGCCAGGATACGAGAGAAGAAACGGCAGAAGGAAATAGAGCGACAGAAGGAGGAATCTAATTACAAATTAAAAAAAAATCCATATGATCCTCATTCTTTAAGAAAACGATTTTCACTGAAAGTTGCATCAATGTCTACAGCAAGTCATTCAGTACCCCACAAAGAGTCACATCCATCTGTGCCGGTAGTCACAGAAAAAGGAAGGCGTGGGTTTGACATTAAAACGCCGTACCATAACACTCCGCAACAGACGCATAAGCTTGATGCTCCCGGTCGAATTTTCGCGCGTCGGCATGTAAAACCGCAAGAACCCCCACTCCAAAAACCAGAGGATAATGAGAAGGAATATGTGAATAGTGTGAATGAACCGTTACATTCAGGAAGTCCTCTCCACACTGAGGCAGATGATTCATGTGTAGAAGAAAATGTTGTCATTAATAAAAATGAGGTGCAAAAGAGTGTGGAAACCCCAGATGTTGAACCAGATACGAAAGCAATTACCAATAATCTGGTCAAGTCTCCAATGCATAGTGTTACCTCAGAAGAAGATATTTTAAATCAGTCTGGAGCTTCAAAGACCTCTTCAGAACGATTGGGTGCGGCATCATTATTAGCATCCAGTGATGAGGTTTGGGAATTGCCTTTGCGAAACCCGCGTGAGGCAACCTCAACACCGATTCCTGTCATAGTCAGACCCCTCGATCTACGGGCACTAAGAAAGTGACCATGTAAAGGAACGCGAGGAGGAAGAAAAAGAAAAAAAAAAAGGTAAAAAGAATATTCAACAACAAAAAAAAAAAGAAGTGGAGGAAGAGACAAGTAATGGTGGGAGGGGAGACTCCATATTCCTCTAAACACTTCTTGTTTTGCATTGCGGGGGAGGAAAGAGATTGTGATATGCTACAGTTTGTAGCCATATTCCTTCTGAAGGAAGTTTTTTTCTCTGTGTTGTTTGATGGTTGTTGTTGTTGTTGTTGTTGTTCTTGTTATTGTTATCGTTTCTATCTTTTTTTCTGAATCCGTTTTTTTTCCCCTTCCTTGGTTGCTTTTTTTTTTTCTTTTTGGAAAGAGAGAAGAAAAAAAAAATCCAAAAAAAAAAGGAAGAAAAAAAAAATAAAGCAAATAGAGGATGAACCGTACTCGTGCTCTCTCTTTTTTTTGGAAAAGCAAGAGGGACCCCAATGTCCCAAAGACATTTGCTGCAATCCCGCAAAAAATGCCATACCATGCAAAATTGGAAGAAGGTAAGACCTACTATTGGTGCGCATGCGGACTCAGTAAGAAGCAACCCTTTTGCGATGGTGCTCATAAGGCGTATAATGAAGAACATGACACCAAATTGGGTCCTGTGAAATTTACAGCCCCAAAGACCAAGAAATACTTATTATGTGGGTGTAAAAACACACTTAATAAACCGTATTGCGATCTCTCTCATATTGGGGTTGCCTTTCGTTCCTTTTTAGGATCAAAAGAGTAAAGGAACGAGAGAAAAAGAAAAAGAAATGGTGTGCCCTTTTATGTCCCCAGAAAAGTGGTTTTATGATATGCGACCATCTTCAGTAGATAGAATCTCTTCGCCTGGTTTGGGTTGTACGTGTGTGTGGGGTGTGGGGTGTTGTTTTGTTGTTTATTTATTTGCTGCTGTTTCTATGTTGAAATGTCATTATCTATGATCGTCTTCGTTGAATATTGTTGGTGTTACTTAAATTCTTACTTTTAAGTTTTTTAAAAAAGAAAAAATGATCTAGCGCGCGAGAATATTTGGTACCACAAAGGGTCAAATCGAACTTTTCTATTCTGCTGAGTTTGTTTCTACAGTATTCGTTTGTGTGTGTGTGTGTGTGTGTGTTTCTTTCTTTGTTTATTACGGAAAAAAAAATCCGAGAAACTCTTTCCAAACGTACCCTTTCCCCTTTCTTTTCACTCCAAAAACGCAACCAGGCACAAAGGAAGCGACACAACAGATATTCAAATAAAGGGAGAGAGGGTGGGAGAGACATGCAGCCCGGCACCGCGATACCCGAAGGAAAACGCAGCCCGACGCCCCCCGGTCGTTGTTTGTTTGTTTCCTTTTTTTTTTATTTCCTTTCAAACGGCTGTGGGGGCCCTGCAAATCACCAACCGCCCCTTTCGAGGGACGATTCCCCCGAGCAACCCCCAAGGAAATCCGGTCAAAACAACGAAAACAAGAGACCTTCCGGCGTTAGTCTGCCCCACGTGTGGCCACCAGTGCGTATGAGTAAATCAGGCCTGACTCCACACCGAATGTCACGACACGGGTATCAACCTGTTCGCGCGCACACCAGCCATCGTGATGAATGCGAAGAAACAGCACTGCACCTCTTGAGTTGCCCCACTCTTCACCCACTGCGAGTTCAATTTGCGATAGTTGATGATGTACCCCTGATGAAACTATGTTTTTCTAAGCGGTTAGCACAGTTCCTTATTGCGGTGGAGCGGAACTACACTATGCCACAGTTTTCACAACCAAGAATCCCTACACAGCCCACCTCCCCCTCTGTAAGGCCTCCCCACCCCTCTAAAATCAGCGACGAGCTCGAATATGGAAACCTTGATAGAAGAGTACGCTCAAGAAGTCTGCCGCCGACCCAAGAAGCAACAAAATAAATAGGAGTTTATTGAGGCCAATCCATCAGAAAAAATTGAAATAACAAAAAATAATACCAAAAGGAGACTTGAGGATGGGTTCTGAGTAAGAAAAGTGAGAGTAGAGAGATCTGGTTGGGTTTACTTGATCAGATTTCTCGCAGACTGGTTCTCTCGTATGGGAACGGGCTACAACAAAAATCATATTACAAGAGCTTGAGGATCCTATAAAATAAAGGGATGTTCTTCTTCGGAGCCACTCGTAAGCCAGTAACTAGGTGCTCTACGGTGTACGGTTGATAGCCGTACCATTGGAGTAATATCCATAAAGAAAAGAAAAGAAAAAAAAAACTTAATCCACTCTACCTTTTTTTTCTTTTTACAAGGGTTTGTTGGGGTGGCGAACACTGCTCCCAACAGGGGTCGAACCTGTGACCTTGGGCTTATTAGACCCACGCTCTAACCGACTGAGCTATAGGAGCCCCAAGCGAAAGAAGGATTGAAGAACGCGGGTGATTTTCTATTCTTTTATTATCCTTTCTTTTGAGGGGGTGCCCAGCCGAAAAAAAAAAAACAAACATCAGGAGAAACCAAAACAAACACTGCCCCTTAAGAAAAGCAAGGGTCAAGGACGTTCGCACGAGCCATCGCGCAAAACACGCTCAGGAGAATTCAACGGCGGCCTACGAAGTCAAGAAAAACGAGTTAAGGATGTAAGGCAATTATTTGAAAAATGAAAAACTTTTCAAAACCCTCCTTTTGCGGATGCCCCACCAGAACCGTCACTTTCCACAACCCCATCGGAACAACGAACCAATTTCCCCGCGGCACCGCCCCTCGTCCGAACGCCATGGGGCCGGCAGGAGACCACAAACAACCAAGGCCAGAAGAAAAGAACGCCGTTCCCCAAGCGGCGGGGTGTGGTTTGTTTTGCGTTCCGGAATGTTTTTTGGGGCTGCCGCGACCATCCGGAGCGCACCAGGGACCGATTTCAAGATAACCCCCGCAATCCTGCAAGACGCATGGCCGGCACGCAGCGCTACTGATTTTCCCAAAGAATTTCCGGCGAGACAAGAGCCGCCCCAAAAGAGGAAAACAAAACATTCCAAGAAGTTGCGGCGTCCCCTTTTCTACAAAAACACGTTCCCTCCTTCGAAAAAAAAAATTTCCCATGGGCAGGGGCGCGCGCTTCTTTTATTTCCGGGCGTTCTATAAACCAAACGGCTTGTGACAACGCCGTGGGGGCTGGAGCCAGAAAAGCCGTGGAGAAAAAAAAAGAAGACGGACGAATGATTTATCCTCGGGGCGTGCGTTCGGGTCTGTTGCCCTCCTGGGCTCCCTAAAAGCGTCTTGGGTGACTTTTTTGGATTTGGGAAAGGGTCATTAATTTTTCCAAACGCGCGTGGCCTTTGTTAAACGCGTTGGGTTGGCGAACTGCATTTTTGCTTGAAAGGAAAACTTCCCTCCAGTAGGGATGGGGGTGGCAGGTTGGTGGGCCACCCCTTCCTCCAAATATTTTCATTACAACAGTGGCCCTGAACCCTTGAAGTTGGCCAAGGGGCACTTTATAGTTTTTCTTTTTTTCTCCCCCAAAAGAAATCTTGTGAGAGGCCCCACTTCCAATCAAAAGGTTGGAAAAGTTAAAGGGAATAAAATTCGAAAACAGAAATTAAGATTATACACAAAAGGTTCCCAAGTGGAAAAAAAAAAACGAACAGAGGACGAATCCTATTTTGGGGTTCTTTCTACGCCTTAATAATAATAATAAATTTGCATACTCAAAGTGCAACTGGCGTCCCGCAATAGATTTCATTTGCGCCTTCCAACAGGATAGTAAAGCTCCAAAGTTTTTTGAGTCAATAAAGATTGAATCATTCTTGCTTATAGCAACCCTTATACCCAGATATAGAGTTTTTTTCGCAGAGCCATAAATCCATATTTTAACAGACGTTACAGTTCTTTCAAAGTTAAATGTGTGCAAAAGAAAAAGGGTGAGGAATTTATAATACCTATAATCCTAGTATTCTGTTCTCATTTTTTTTTAACCTTCTGTAAAAAGAAAAAAAAAAAAATCATACTCTTTGAAACGAATTGCAATTCTAAAAATAGAGTAGATGACATCGAATTTCAACATTTGAAACCTACCGATTCAATATGAGCGGCAAGTTTTCCAGCCTCTGCAAAAAAAAAAAAATAACCTCCCTCTAATCTCTCTGTGGGAGGTTAGACTTGTTTACACAAATGAAATAAGAAATATCGAAACTAAAAATAAAATTACAGTTTTTTATTTCCAGAAGATTTGCTAAACAAAAGAGTTCTTCACTTAGCATCGGCTGGCAGTCCTACACCCTTTGTGTTGGAGAATATTTCAAAACTTTGGCGTAATGTTCCGCAGTCTCCGTTTAGACTGTGATATATATTTTTTATAGCGTTAGAGAAACGCCAAAGAAATGGCTAACGTTTTCGGAAACGACCCGTAGAGATTTGAAGGAAATAAATAAAAAAGGAAAAGGTTTAATAATTGATGAAAGTCTTTTGGTTTTTTTTTTTTTATTTTCCCGCCTTCTTCGAATACGTGGGCGGCGGCTCCCATGAAAAAAGACTCTCTCCGGGGACCCTGCCAGCGCCCGGATGTTTTTTATTTTTTTGGAAAGTGACGTTTCTGTTGTTTCTGGGAAATCGCTTCTGTGTGTCGAACCGGGTCGGTTCTGCTTCGGTTCCGTTTGTTGTGCTTTGGGCCGGTGCCCGTGGGTGTTTTTTACTTTTAGGACTCCATAGCTTCTGCTTGGGCCCGTGGGCCGAACCGTTTTGGAAACACAAGCCTTTATCTTTGTTTTTTTTTTTCTGAAAAGTGATAAAAACATTTATTTTTCAAAGAATTCACCTTTTGAAAAATTCGCCAATGTTTCCCCCCATGTTCTTTTAATGGGCCGGGCTTGCCCTGATTCGCTTTACGTGCGGGAAGATTTTTTTTTTTTTTTGGTGGCGTTTTTTCTTCCGACGTTATTCCGGAATCCACCCCCTCGCTCGCGCAGCCTGGAGGGTTAAGGGGTCACAGGCTTTGCTGAAGAAAGGGCTGGCAGCCCAAAGGGTTTTACCAATATTACAAGTTTCTGTGCTGCAGCGCCGCGGTGGATGTCCGCAGGGTTTGGTTGGGCCGCAAAAGGGGTCTGTCATCAAACAACCGCGGCGACCGCCACCAGCACCCACACACCCTCCCAACCCCACCGGGGATTCAAAGGAAAATAACCAAAGCCTTGCTTTACCCCTTAAAGAAGATAAGAGGGAAGAAAAATAAAGAAAATATGCCACTTTGTTGTCTTAAACCATCCGTTTCGCAATGCATATATAAATCACGATACTTTTTCCCCTCCATGGCCGTTCCCCCAAATAAAAGCCAGAACTGACGAAAATGGAAGTGCTAAGAAGCCCCTTTTAACCCGGCTTCCGCTCTCCCCATCACAAGTTTCACATCCTTTAAACACTTTCATATCGCCGCGGTTTGCCATCTAGATATGCCGTCCGCAGGATTGCCCCCCGACGCGACGTAACCCCAAGTGACTCGTATTCCGCGCGGGCACAAAACTTTCTATCTATGCCCTTGTCCTCCGTCACTAACGCCAGCGATTGCGTGTTTTCTTTTTTCATAATATGCATTAGAGCTTTATTGTCTATGCAAATGTACAAAGACCCAGTTAAATACGTTTTAAAACTACATAATGCGAGAAGAACCGGGCGCACTTCTGCTTGGGATATCATTTGCGGTGCGAATGCTCCCACGCACCGCCTGCCGCCAAAACCTCCCCTGAACCCTTCAATAACAACAAGTTCCCCATCCGTACATGGATGTGTCTGTTACCAGCGTTGTTGGTGGATGGCAAGTGCTGCAGTGGGTAAACTGGCTCGTTTGTTAACAATCTTTTGAGCCAATTTTGCCCAATGTCCCTCGCATTTGGGGATAAACTTCTCTAGCCTTATGGCCGTATTAAACCTCGATTTGAACATGACAATCGTCGACGCACTATTTTTAAGAAAAAATAATAAGGGAAAAAAGATTCCCCCACGCCCTCTGCCCCGCACATCGCGGGTGAAACTGTGCTCTCCTATTCTTCAACTTTTGAGTGTACCAATAGTGGTGCTTCTTGCAACCTCTTTATTCTCTTTTTCCTTAAAGAAACCGTGTTTTCCTTGTGGTTAAAGTGTGCTCCCTATGAAATCATATTCCTTTGTTTTTAACTGTTGTTCCTCAATAGTGGCACCGCAGCGTTGCGTGTTATGCAAGATTTTCTTTCCCCACACTTCCACCTTTTTGTGTGGACCACTTATTCGGATGTTATCAATCCAAACGTGTATGTGTAAATCTTTTGGTGCAGCGTACTGTGGCATTACCAGTGCCGGATCACCAGCCAGAACTCTTGTAATGGTATTTAAAATACCAGGACTACATTTATAGCCCATAGGAAGGCGAGTTAACCTGACGAGTTCTCCTTATTCCGTGTGGCAACGGAAATTTGCGCGCATGTTCTCTGGCAGAGCCACCTGGAAAAATGATGCCTTTAAATCAAATAAAGTTGCAGTTTCGTCGCAAACTACATCCAGGTACCGGGAAATGCGTCCCAGAGGAACATCAGCCTCATAATAATCCTGAGTGTTATTTTCTCTTGGCAAAGCAATGAATCGCCTTCTCTGCCCGGAGGGTTTTCCCTCCACTACCGTAAACGGTACTACCCATCCTGCGGTTGGGTGTGATGAAGCTGTACAAATAATTCCCGCTTCCTTCATACGCTGCGCATCAGCGTTGTTAATTCTTAAATTGGATTCACGCCGTCTGGCGTGTAACTCGGGTTTCTGCATAATATTCCACACCTCGTCCCAACGCCTCCTGGCCCTTTGTTCGGACGTCCTCTAATCCAATGGGTGGACGGTGTTCCAACGTCTATTTGTTGCAACGGCAATTGTGCTTCTTCATCTTTTGATGTCACTCTGTTGCGGTGTGATCGTTGAAGCATTTTGTGCCCTTTGAAGGGGGCGCAGGAATGTTGTCTTGTAAATTCTATTAATTCCCATTTTGCTGCTGCCAATTTTTCCAAATGTTTTGCATCAATGATCTTAGGTGGGCGGGGTTGTTGATTGTTGCGGCCCAATGGCCCAGATAACGCGCCGTGCTTCGCGGGAGTTCCGTGGGATCCGCGTGTTTCCCCTGCCGTGTTCGCAATCGTGGGTTGGGATCGTGTTCAATTTTTTTTTTTTTTTTGGCTTGTAAAGTTCTTTTTGCAAAGTGACATGGCGCGTAGAGCTATAATGCCCAATACGGCCACAACTGAAACATCGTGCCTTGCTGGATGGTGGTGGTGATGCCGAATGTTTCTTCTGACACTTCATGGTAGCCTGTATGAAGGATTATCCTCTTTTTTGAGGCCCAACGATGGCCCCCGAATGTCCCGCATCCTCGCCCCCGGAAGGCCCTTAACCGTTTGTATTGCCCGTGCCTTTGCGCAGAGCCATCATCCCATTTGAACCCGTTGCGCCGCCACCCCTTCACTACGAACAAGGCGCGTCCATTGCAGAAAATCGCCCCATGCCTCGCCATAATCTGGGGAAGGGTTCGCCGGCATGGGAAAAACTTTTCCCGGCATGCGGTCACCAATTGGCTGGGTGATATCCCCCTCAAATAATCCATTATTCCTTCAAAAGTACGGATTCGCTCCTCTGGCCTGAAGCCGCCGTTCCTTGCTGGCAGTCGGGGCCCCTGTGTTCCCCTGAAATCCCAATTTTAGGCCATTCCTAGTGCGCCATTGGTGCCTTATCCCATTTCCATGGGATTTGTGATAAATCAATGGTTTTGTTGAGGGTGTTATGGGAATTCCGGCATTTGTCTTACGCCGCGCTTGTATTGGGATGCTCCTGCGCTATTTGTTGCAGCAATTTCACCGCCTGAATCTCTCTTTGAACGAGTTGCTGTAGTGCTGCCGCGGGTTGTGCTTGCTTTTCTCCCAGTTGCTTCTGAGTCGCCCGCGATTGTGGACGCATTTTTCTCATTTGTGTTGTTGACCCAGGGGTTTAATGGCAAATTTGTGTCATTTGTCTTTGCATCTCCTGGACCTGTACATTTGTATTGGTCATATAATAGTGATTTTTTTTCTTCCACTGCCGCCCATTCGAAACTGAAGTGCGCGAGTGCTTTCTTAAAAGCTTGTTGAAAATCTGTATTTCGTGCCATAGTGAAGCCAATCATGAGGTGGTGGCACAAGGTCGCACAATTCATGGATGTATTTGGCTCCATTTTTACCACAATCTAGACGAAATTCAAATGCAAAAGCCGTAGGGGCGTCATGGGTCACAAAAACTGCGAACGCCTGCGTGCTAGTCTGCCGCTGTGCCGTTAAGTAAGGCAGGTAGTTCGTACTTGACATTTTCCTTGCTTATTAAATTACTTTATTCGGAAACTAACGTTTGAGAGAGTGTGAAGGGGCAAATTCCTATTAACGTAATACTCGTTCTTTATTTTCTCAACCCGTCTCAAAGAAAAAGCGAAAAAAGTTATTCTTTTGCTTTTTTACCGCAACAAACCCAGCATAACGTGATTTTGTCCATTTCAAACTATGCAATTGCAAACCAGACGTTTTTTAAAGGTTCTTCAAGGGTTTTTTCTCTCTACTTGCTGCTGTGTCTGGGGGGATTTTTTCAATGTCACGGAACCATTCATGGAATAACTGAAATGGTCCAAAGATTTATTTAGAATTTCAAATGCAAAAATAAGAAGAAACCAATTTGGAATTGTTAATTATTTTCAAAATACCTTTTGAGTTTTTCGCCTATTATGTACTTTTTATTTCATTTAATATAAATTCCATTTTATTTTATTCTTCTTTTCAGATACGGAGCGACATTTGCAACGTTAGAGAAACTTAATAATAGCAGTTAAACTATAATTTTTTTTGTTTTCTTTTGCATGGACTCCGAAAGTCGCCTTCAATTATTGCATTTTTTATGTAAGATCTCTGGGTGGTGCGTATTTCTCGCGGAGAAAGGTGCAAAGGAATCTTTGGTTAGTATATTTCAATGCCCCCAGAATGCATGGCAAGTTGGTTCCTGCAGTAAGAAGCCTTTCATTGCTTTCTTGAGAAAGGGATATTGTTTTCTTTTCCAAACAATTAAAAAGAAAATGTGAAAACAGTAATATGTCCAGAATGTCCGTTTCAGTCCCCAGGGGAAAGGAAAACTGAAACCGTATGCCGCAGCAACTTGTATCAGTTTTTTTCCTGGGTTCGCCGCGGGGGTAGACCACGCAGGCAAAGAGAAAATAGAATTTCCTATCCAAAGATGATTTTCAGCCAAAGGTTAAAGAAGCCTTTCGACCATTCCCGGGCAAAACACCGGCGCCTTTGTTTGTGCCGGCCTTCCTTCGTGGACCCTTTAACCTTTCCAGGTCATGAAACTGGTAGGAAAACAGCGTCTAGAGAGCAGTCGCCCCACCCACACACCCAGCGGAGATCCTGCAGATTTGAGTTTTTTTTTCTGGGCGTCCGTGCGCGCACCACATTCTAGGAGAAACGGGTGTTTTGGGAGACGTTCGGCAGCCCCTCGCCAGAGAGTTCTTGATGCTGCCGGTGGTTGCGGGTTGGACTTCTGCGGGTCGCTACGGTTGGCTTCGAAAGGGATTATTTAGAGAAGCGTACCCATTGGAAGTCGCAGCGATTGTGCGCTCCCGCCTATTTTTGGAAGGAAAATATCCCTTTCTTAATAATTGGTAATGGCTGTTGGGAAGTTTCTGCGTCTGTTACTCCCTCTTTGATTTTCTTTTGATTGAATAACGTTCGCTGGTTTTTAATGTGCTTCTCTCTGTGTTTGCCTTTGCCCTCTGTTGCGGTGAAGTCTGAAACTCCACCCCACCGCCTTCCCTGATTTTTAGTTTCTTCCACTTTACTTGAACTGTTGGCTTTTCGCTCTAAATTTTTTTACCGAAAAAATGCTAAAGGGTAAACGAATACTGGAAACAAAGATCCGTTTTTGGTGGAGGCGGGGTCCCCCGCAGTTTCTGCTCTTTCCGAAATGCATCGATCTACCAAAAAAAAAAAAAATCCTTTCGGAATTAGGGAGCGCGATGGTTAATGGGTTTGTGGGTGTTGTTGTGCGAGAAAGCGTTTCAAAGTCATTTTCATTATAAAGCCCTCCTGCCCTTAAAGGAGGTGGTGAGTTGCCGGTTGCTACTCTGTTTGGCTTTGTTGTGAAACCACGAATCTTCCACATGCCAGAGAAAAGTGCGTAACGCTTGTGCCAGTTTAAAGTGATCAACGTGCAGTGGCGCCAAAGCCTTTTTTTTCAACGAGGTGCTGCCGTTTCTGCTGTTGTGGGTTGTGTAGGATTTTATCCCAACCCACCTTTGGAAGAAGGCCTGGTGGTGGGGAATAAACGGCTTTTTTATTGCTCTTGTTGAATGCAGGGTTCTTCGTGGGAAAACCATGTGTTTACTTCCTTAGGATTGGGCGACAGATGTGGTGATAAATGCGATCCTGGGATCTAAGGCTGTCAAAGTTTGGTATCCAAATTGCTTCGCTAAACTGACAGGCCCGTGCGGGTTCGGCGCGATAAAAGTGATAAATTTCACGGATTCGTCAATAAATGCGGACTGCGCCAAAGAATTTTCTCAGTTGAGCGGCAGGTTATCGGCTAGAATTTTGACGAAGCGCGGATTCTTTTGGCTTGCTGCCGGGTGGGGATCTTTCGCGCTAGTGGTTCCGTTGGCCGTTTGCCTTCTCTTTCTTTAGCTGCGGCAACGGTGGGGCACTTTACCCCTTGGGGCGGTATTCCTCTCAGATTTCAGCCATGAGGAGGTTTGCTATATTTCACCTCCGCACCACCCTATATTAGGTATTTCTTTGTGGGTGTCTCTGCGTTTGATGCGGGCGTGTTTTTAAAGAGCAGATAAAAGAATACGTGAGGTCCCAAGATTTTTTTTTTCTTTTGGAACCGGCTCTTCCGTATTGAAATGAAGTGGCAGAATATTGGTTTGGCTTTTTTTTTTTGTTTCTTACGCCCCTAGAGGGAAGGCGTCCTAATACTCTTTGAGTTCTTCTTTTGTTTCCTCAGGTTTGGAGGTTCTATTTGAAACCAGGTGGTTGGAAAAAAAAAAGACCGCCTGTATATATCTTCGGGGGTGTGGTTGCTGGTGGTTTTTGGTCGGTTGGGGCGCGGGTCCGGGTTGAAAGGTGCCAGTTATAGGATTCGCGGCGCTTGTTTTGGGTAATAAAACCGTTTATTTTCCTATGTTATGGCTCCTTTATCTGCTTCATTTCCTTCTTTGGAGGGCCAGTGCGGAAAGACATCTCGGCCCAAAGGCCCGCCAAAGGACCGCAAAAGCGCAGAGCGGAAATAAACATTGGCGCCAAAAAAAAAATGGGTTTTCAAAAGGAACGGGGAAGCATAGGAGGCACTGAAGCCCAGCTTGTCCCTTTTTTTTTCTTGCCTCTTGTGGTTTATTCCCCTTTCGGGGTTGCGGGCGCCCCTCCAGCCAACCTGACGATGGGGACCCCCAGGAGGGGCGCCAAAAGAAAGAAACAAATTGATAAACATTTTGGCGGGAAATCGTGGCATTCGTTTTGGGATCTGTGTGTTATGGGTGGGTTTTCTGTTGTGCCCCACGGTCCCGGTGTAGATTTCTCGCGTTTTTGATGTTGTGGGTGGCTTGGCTGGCGTTGGTGTTGCGGGTTTCGGCGGCCACGGCCGAACCAAAGGGGAAAGACCAAACCGTTAAAAAAACGAAAAGGCGCACCACAACACCAACTAAGCGCGTGCATCGGTAGAATATTATTGTTTCTAATGATGGAAGGTGCTGTAAAAAATAAAAAAAAAGGTGACTTTCCCGGTTTGTAGGTGCGGGGGTTCCTTAAGCTTTTGGTGGGGTTTGCGTTGGCCTTTTCGTCCCAATTTTTAGGTACCCCCAACTTGTCTGTACCCAAATGTTTGTTTATGTTTTCGTTTTATCTACAGTTCCATTTTTTTTTTCTGTTTTCATAAAAAATTATGTGTTTTGGCAGGGCCGCGCCGGGTTTGTTATCGCCCCGCGGTTGCGTGGTTTCGTGCGGGGTGGGGTCGGCATTTCGAGGTTTTTTTTTTATTTCTTCCTTTTGCTTTTGTGTTCTTCCCTTCCTTCTGCCAAGCCACCCCAGTTCCACAGAAACCCCAAAGGGGCTAAAATAAAAACCCTTGAATGCGCAAGTGGGTGGGAATAAATATATTCCAAGTGTGTGGCATTGCGTCGGAAAACGGTGTATGAGGTTAAAGGGGTTAACTTTTTCAACGCCCCGCAATTTCCCAGATCGATTTTTGAACCAGGAGGGGTTGATAAAAGTTGCCCCCACCGACATTTTTCGTTTTTTTTTTTTTTTTTTTTTTTTTTTTTTTTTTTTTTTTAGTTGCCACACGAAATGGCAAATCACATATTCTCCTTGTTTTTTTTCCCATCCTTTATACGGGAATGTCTTACCTGGCGCCTCCCGGATTCGGCGAAATGGGGGCGATGTTTTCCGGGTGTTGGCTTGTGGGCGGCGGGGTGTCTCCCAAAAGGCGCCGTTGCGGGGGTGGTCGTCGGGCGCCTTCTCTATGGGAATTGTTGGTGGCGGTGGTGGTGGTGGCGGTGGGGTTGTTGACTCCAGGTGTTTATGTACGGTTTCTGTGCTGGCATATTTTATTTTGAATGGTGTCATTTGTTTATCCTTTATTTGGCCAATGTTTTTGGCGAGGGCCTTCCGTTCTGTGTTGGAAAAGGTATTTTATACCCAATTGGTTGGTGCCAGTGGGGTTTTCAGCTTTAAGAGTAAGTTTCTTGTAAAGATAACAGCTGCGGATGCTCTCCAGAGTCTTCCCTTAAACAGAAGAACTAGAAAAAAATATATATGGGGGCCAATAGATCCCTTCACCGCTTCAGGTTGGAGACGGCATAAAACCTTCTTGGTGAATAAATCTGCTTCTCTTCAGCAGAGCTTGTGGCAACTCCCTTCTTTGAAGTTTCTTTATTGTACTAAAACTCTCTGCCTCATGAAGAACCGTAGCCGTTTTTTTTTAGTTGGAATTACCATGATATAAAGTTCCATTTTCGAATTACGCATTCTATCCTGGCCACTGTTTTGGCCGTTAGAAAGAGATTCTTCATGAATGGTTTAACTTTATTGTTTTGTAAGAAACGCATCCTATGCGTGCTTGTGTTTTGGAAGTTGCTCGCGCACACCCGCCAGGCCTCGCAAATAAAGAATCCCATTGGGCAGCTGGGGTTGGAAATGTTGGTCCGGATTAAAGAAAAACTTTTCCTTTTTGACTTTGCCATTATTTTGAAAAGGGCTCGAGAAAATATCCCCTTTTCACCCGCCTTTTGGGCGTTGAAAAAAAAAAAAGACGGCCGCGGCGGTGCCAGAAAAAAAAAATATATATACCTCATCCCGGGCTTCAGAAAAAAAAAAATGGTATATCCTTTTCATTGATTCGGAAAAATGTAGGTGATAAAATATTTTTATATTTGGAGTTTTGAAATCTCATAGTGGTTTGTTGATCTTTAAAGCTTGGTGCCGTAAGAATCTTTTGCTTTGATGTGGGGCCGTTGGGTGGAACTTGGGTTTTGGAGAAGTTGGTTGGCACAACGATCCCAAAGGGTTGCCTTGCGGTTTTGGTTGGGCCTGGAGGGCGCGAGGGCCGTTGTTATACCGCCGGTGCCGCCGCACGCGAGCACAATTAAAGGAAGAGGACTTTCAGTGGGGAAGCGCAAAACAAAAAAACAACAGACACAGAACTTTCAGGAACTTGAAGGGATAAAAGAAGAACGCGGCGTGGCGCTTGGAGCGATCAAACGATGGGGCAATAATGTCAAGGGAATCGTCCTCACCAAAGGCGTTCCACACACCCCAAGAACATCCAGAGGCAACAGGAAGGGTCAAGGAAAGAAATAAAGAAAGAAAAAAAGCCGACCCTTTTCCTTCGAAATAATTTAAAGCGCCGCCTTTCGCCACGAGTTTGAGCGCCGCGGCATGGACGGAAGATCCCGCCCGCAGGAAATCCCCCCCGCGTCCGCGGGGGCACAAAAAAAAAAAAAAAAAAAGAACCCCCTGGAACAGTTATGTGCCCCGACGCAGGGGTAAAGGGTTGCCTTCCCCATGCCGATCGCGTTCGGCCATGGGAAGGGATGGGGCGCCTTTCGAACCTAGCGCGTTTGGTTTGGCCTCGGTTTATTTTGGGGGGGCCTTTGTCGGGAGGGGGCCCGCCGCCTCCTGAGGCAAAGAACGGAATCCCATGGGAAAAAACAAAATGGGGATCCGCCTTTCCCCACGCGCGGTTTGTTTCGGCGTTGTCTTCGGCGGTTCGTTCCTCTACTGGCTGGGTTACGCTTCGCATCCCCCTCGTTTCGACGTCGAGGGGGTTTTCTGAGGTTTTACCCGCCGGCGCCGCCCGGCCGAGGGGGATCCGAACCACCGCCAAAACAAAACCAAGCAACAACAACAACAGACTACAAAAAAAAAAAAAAAAAAAAACCAACCGGTTCCTTTCGTCCCCACCTTGGCTTTGTGGGCGGGGGGTGTGTGTGGTGTGGGGGGCGAGGCAACGAGAGAGAAAAAACAGAAAAGCACCAGTACACCGCTATTCCTACACACGCGCGTAGGGTCAAGCAATAAAACAAAGAAATTAGATACATATTAGGAAAAATATCCATTATTCAAAGAAAAAGAAGAATCATCCAATCCTAAGTAAAAAAAAAGATTATATACGAATTAAATTTTATTTGGTAACATTACAGAGATAGCCACACACACAAAAACAGCAATAATAACGGATAATGTATAAACCTCTCTCCATGTGTTGATTTCTCCCTGTCCAATTTACAATTTGCAGTGTCCCCATAGGAACAAGCAAATTATATGTTACCCCATTCACACGTAATGTGAAAGATAAAAAGAAAAGAGATATTATTTACCAGAATCACACAATTGCAGAGTGAGAGACAGCACAAGGAGCACAGCAATACTCTGCTTACAAGTATAAAAAAAGAAAAAAGATTAGGTATTTCCACACAAATTGATGTACCCTAGTCCAGTGGGTGTCATCGGGATTAATTTTCTCGATGCTTAGTGTACTGAACACAGTAGCAGTTATATTATTATTATTATTATTATTATTATTATTATTATTATTAACAGTAAACAAGTGATTACCAACACTCTCTGGAAGGGACCCCAGCACAGTGCTCAGCACACGGCCATGCAGCCCAGCACAGAGAGCAGCAGCAGCAGGAGTGGAACACGCAGTAACGCAGGGCTGCTACTGCCGTCATTTCGTGTGATGCCATTCGTTTTTGAAGCATTCGTGGGTAGAAGAGATGTTTCATTTGTCTGTTCCTGTGCCTGAGACTCCAACTGTTTTTCTTCCTTCTCTTTAGCAGCAGCAACTGCGGCGTCAAGTTTCTCTAGGACATCCTCCACATCAATAGCACGAAGTCTAGCATTGTCAGCATGTTTGTAAGCCTCAATTACCGCGCTTTCTGCCTCTTCAATTACTTTCATTGCCGCCTCAGCATCTCTTTGTCCACCAGGAGAGTTGATTATGTCTTCAGTTTTCTTTGCACTATCAGAAGTTCTGACGGCCACTTCTATTGCTTCGGTTGCAACCTCCCTCGCCTTATCAATGAGTTTAAGACCTTCACTCTTCGTTCTGTTCACCTCTTCTGGGTTAGCAGCAATTGTTTCCAGTTTCTTCTCAATGTCAAGAGCAAATCGTTCAGCTTCATGCGTGGCATCTTCAGCAGCCTTGGTGGCTTTCACACACTCCTCTTTCAGACTCGAAGTCTCCTTAGCCTTCTGTTGTGCTTCCTTAACAAGTTCTGACCTGTCATGTGAAGCAGCATGAGCCACACCCACACAGCAGAACAGAAGGGCCAACAGACACAACACACGATACGGCAACATGGACATTCTTGTCATTAATACCACTGAGGATCACTGGAGTCTGCATGTGTGTGTGTGTAAAGAAGAAAGAAAGATAGAAAGAAAGAAAAACACCAGTACACCGCTATTACTACACACACACATATGGAGTCAAGCAAGAATACAAAGAAATTGGACACATTAGGGGAAAATACCCATTATTCAAAGAAAAAGAAGAATCATCCAATCCTAAATAAAAAAAAAAGATTATATACGAAATGAATATCATTTGGTAACATTGCAGAGATAGCCACACACACAAAAACAATAATAACGGATAATGTATAAATCCCTCTGTGTTGGTCTCTCCCTGTCCCCATTATAATTTGCAATGTCCCATAGGAACAAGCAAATTATATGTTACCCCATTCACACGTAATGTAAAAGATAAAAAGAAAAGAGATATCATTTACCAAAAATAAACAATTGCAGAGTGAGACACAGCACAAGGAGCACAGCAATACTCTGCTTACAAGTATAAAAAAAGAAAAAAGATTAGGTATTTCCATACAAATTGATGCACCCTAGCCCAGTGGGTGTCATCGGGATCAATTTTTTCGGTGCTCAGTGTACCGAGCACAGTAGCAGTTATATTATTATTATTATTATTATTATTAACAGTAAACAAGTGATTACCAACACTCTCTGGATGGACCCCACCACAGTGCTCAGCACACGGCCATGCAGCCCAGCACAGAGAGCAGCAGCAGCAGGAGTGGAACACGCAGTAACGCAGGGCTGCTGCTGCCGTCATTTAATGCCATACCACTGTTATTCGCTGCACCATTGAGTAAGGCGTCAAGGTTTTCTCCGTGGATATTAATAGTAACAGTAGAACGGTAGTGCTGTTTTTGTTTTTCTTGTTTTTCTTGTGTTTCCCTTGTCTGTTCCTGTGCCTGAGTCTCCACCGGTTTTTCCTTCTTCTCTTTGGCAGCAGCAACTTCGTCGTCGAGTTTCTGCAGGGCATCTTCCACAAGTTTAACATAAGTGTTCGCACGATCCTCAGCCTCTTTAACAACACGTGCTGCGTTTTCCGCCTCTTCAGCCGCATCCTCTGCCTTCATTTTTTCTTCTTCATCAGGAAGAGCAAACACTTTGTTTTTAGTTTCCGTTGCACTCTCTGTAGTTTTGTCGGCCACTTCTTTTGCTTCAGCTGCAGCCTGCGTTGTATTTTCAATAAATTTACGACCTTCAATCTTCCTTTTCTCCACCTCTTTTGGGTCAGCAGCAATTGTTTCGAGATTAGCCTTAATTTCCTCAGCAAATGCTTGAGCTTTATGGGCGGCATCTGTAGTAGCGGTGGTGATTCTCTCACACTCCTCTTTCAGCTTTAAAGTCTCCTCAACCTTCTTTCTCGCCAGCTCAACATACGGTGACTTGCCATGTGCATTTGCATGAGTCACACTTACACAGCAGAACACAATGGCCAACAAACACAACACACGACACGGCAACATGGGCATTCTTGTCATTAATACCACTGAGGATCACGGGAATCTGTGTGTATGTAAAGAGAGAGAGAGAAAAAGAGAAAGAAAAACACCAGTACACCGCTATTACTACGTACACACACATATATGGAGTCAAGCATGAATGTAAAGGAATTAGACACATTAGGGGAAAATACCCATTATTCAAAGAAAATGAAGTTCCATCCAATCCCAAGAAAAAGTAAAGATTATATACGAATTGAATATTATTTGGTAACATTGCAGAGATAGCCACACACACAAAAAAAAAACAATAATAACGTATAATGTATAAATTTCTCTGTGTTGGTTTTTCCCTGTCCTAATTACAATTTGCGATGTCCCCAAAGGAACAAGCAAATTATATGTTATCCCGCTCATAGATAATGTAAAAGCAAATAAAAAAGAAAAGAGATATCATTTACCAGAATCACACAATTGCAGAGTGAGAGGCAGCACAAGGTGCACAGCAATACTCTGCTTACAAGTATAAAAATGAAAAGAGATTAAATATTTCCACACAAATTGATGCACCCTAGCCCAATGGGTGTCATCGGGATTATTTTTTTCTTGGTGCTCAGTGTACTGAACACAGTAGCAATTATATTATTATTAACAGTAAACAAGTGATTACCAACACTCTCTGGAGGGACCCCACCACAGTGCTCAGCACACGGCCATGCAGCCCAGCACAGAGAGCAGCAGCAGCAGCAGGAGTTGAACACGCAGTAACGCAGGGCTGCTGCTGCCGTCATTTAATGCCATACCACTGTTATTCGCTGCACCATTGAGTAGGGCGTCAAGATTATCTCCGTGGATATTAATAGTAACAGTAGAACGGTAGTGCTGTTTTTGTTTTTCTTGTGTTTGCTCCACCTTATTTCCTTCTGTAAGGCCTTGCTGCTCACCAAGAGATGTTTCCTTTATCTGTTCCTGAGACTCCAACTGTTTTTCTTTCTTCTCCTTGGCAGCAGAAACTGCGGTTTCGAGTTTCTGCAGGGCATCTTCCACATGTTTAGCATAAGTTTTCGCAGCGTCGATATCATTAATAGCAGCCTGTACCGCTTTGTCTGCCTCTTCAGCTGCTTTCTTTGCCCCCTCAACTTTTTCTTCTGGTACACCAGGAAACATGGCTTTGTCTTCAGTTGCCCTTGCACTCTCTGAAGTTTCGTCGCGCACTTTTTCTGCTTTCTCTGCAGCCTTCGTTGCATTATCAATGAGTTTTTGACCTTTACTCTTCCTTTCCTCCACCTCTTTTGGATCAGCAGCAATTTTATCAAGTGAAGATAAAATTTCGTTAGCAAATACATGAGCTTCTTCCCCGGCCTGTCGAGCAGCCGTGGCCGCGTTGTCGCACTCCACCTTAAGTTTAGAAGTTTTTTCAGCCAATTCGTTTGCTTCCTTCACCAAATTCACAAAATATGGTGAAAGAGCATCAGCATGAGCCACACCCACACAGCAGAACACAATGGCCAAAAGACACAACACACGACACGGCAACATGGACATTCTTGTCATTAATACCACTGAGGATCACTGGAATCTGTGTGTATGTAAAGAGAGAGAGAGAGAAAATAAAAGCACCAGTACACCCCTAGTACTACACACACACACACATACATATCGAGTCAAGCAATAGTGTAAACGAATTAGACACATTAGGGAAAATACCCATTATTCAAAGAAAATGAAGTTCCATCCAAATCCCAAAGAAAAAAAAGATTATAAACAAATTGAATATCATTTGGTAACATTGCAGAGATATCCACACACACAAAAACAATAATAATAACGGATAATATATAAATCTCTCTGTGTTGGTTTCTCCCTGTCCCCATGGGAACAAGCAAATGACATGTTACCCCATTCACACGTAATGTAAAAGCATATAAAAAAGAAAAGAGATATCATTTACCAAAAATCACACAATTGCAGAGTGAGACACACCACGAGGTGCAAAGCAATACTCTGCTTACAAGTATAAAAAATGAAAAAAGATTAAGTATTTCCACACAAATCAATGCACCCTAGCCCAGTGGGTGTCATCGGGATTAATTTTCTCGGTGCTTAGTGTACTGAACACAGTAGCAATTGTATTATTATTAGCAGTAAACAAGTGATTACCAACACTCTCTGGAAGGAACCCCACCACAATGCTCAGCAACAACAGCAGCAGGAGTAGTAGAAGTATTTGCCACAGCTTCACTCGTTGTGTTACCGGCCTTGTGGATTCCATCATCTGAATGTACTATTCCTTCAGTCGCTCTTCTTCCACGTCTCTTCAGCAGCACGGAGGGAGTCTAGTATCTGTCTTGCTGCCTCCTCCGCTGCTTTGAAAGCATCGCTTGCTTGCTTTACCATCTCCTGCCCCTCACGTATGGTGTTCATTACCACATTCGTGTTGGAATCCACAGTTTCAGTGAGTTCTTTAGTTACAGCGGCACGTAACCTTAATGCATCTTTTATTTTCTCACTATTATCACGCTTTTTTTGATTTACTACTGGATTATGGGAATGAGAATCATAAACAACTTTGATACCACTTCTTGTTTTCGACATGTTCTTTAGTTGCGACAAGTCCTTGGGAAGAAATGCATCAACTGCCTCCGTTGCTGTACTTGCAGCTACAGTAGCGCGATTCACTGCCTCTGCGGCTTTCTCTTTCGCCATAGTGATCTTCTTTTGCATCTCTACTACCTTCTCCACTGCCACAACGGCTGCTGCCTTCCACACAGAATTGCGTGTTGTAGTCTTCACATTCTGCACTGCTCTCAACACCTTTTTGGCCTGTTGCAACATCGCATCAACATTCCCTTTTAGTTCATCTACACTAGCCACCGTCGTGTAAAGAACGATATGAGCGGTGGTGATGCTATCCATAACACTCAGAACATTACTAACAGCAACAGACATATTGTCTTCAAATGACTGTGCTACTGGTATTTTCTCTCCATGCTCTGAGTAGTTATCACTTTCATTAACTAAGAGAATTTTACTTTTTTCAGCCATCTGCATTAGTCCGGTAAATATGTCTTCCACATTCCTTTCGGCCAGCTTAAGTGCCTCATCTGCCTTTACAACCGCATCCTCCACTCTTCTCTTTTCTTCAGTAATAGTCTGCACAACATTGTCATAGGACTCTGGAGCAGTCTTCGCCTTTGTGTGTGCTGCTGTAATACTCTCCACCAGTTTGTTGGCGAATTGCAGAGCCTCCTTGACACTCTCAGAGGACTTTCCATTTACCACTGATGATACCCGTGTTGCTGCTGCTGATGTACCTCCACTAGTGGCAATCGTATCTCCCACTAAAGGGGCAGTATTATTTGCAGATACCTGCCGTGCCTGAGAAGTACCCGTGGCATCACTTACACCCACACAGCAGAACACAATGGCCAACAGACACAACACACGGCACGGCAACATGGACATTCTTGTCATTAATACCACTGAGGATCACTGGAGTCTACATGTGTGTGTAAAGAGAGAGAGAGAGAGAAAGAAAGAGAGAAAACAGAAAATAAAAGCACCACTACACCGCTATTATTGCACACATACATAGACTCAAGCAATAATGCAAAGAAACTACACATATTAGGGAAAATACTCATTATTCAAAGAAAATGAAGTCCCGCCCAATCCCCAAGAAAAGGTTATAAACAGATTGAATATCATTTGGTAACATTGCAGAGATAGCCACACACAAAAAAACAATAATAACGGATAATGCATAAATCTCTCTGTGTTGGTTTCTCCCTGTCCGCACTACAATTTGCGATATCCCCATAGGACCAAGCAAATGACATGTTACCCCGCTCATAGATAATGTAAAAGATAAAAAAAAAAAGAGATATCATTTACCAGAACCACACAATTGCAGAGTGATACACACCATGAGGTGCACAGCAATACTCTGCTTACAAGTATAAAAATGAAAAAAAGTTTAAATATTTCCACACAAATTGATGCACCCTAGCCCAGTGGGTGTCATTGGGGTTAATTTTCTCGGTGTTCAGTGTACTGAACGCAGTAGCAATTGTATTATTATTATTAGCAGTAAACAAGTGATTACCAACACTCTCTGGAATGGACCCCACCACAGTGCTCAGCCCAGAGATCAGCAGCAGTGACAGTTTCTTTGTATTTATTACACGAATATCAGCAGCATTATGAGAGCGCCGTCTATTTTCTTTCTTTTTATTCAGAGCAGCATCAGCCGCGGCATCGAGTTGCCCAATGACTACGTTCACACGTTTAACAGCAGCTTCCGCATTCTCCTCAGCAACGTAAGCTGCAATTGCCGCTCTGCGTGACAGGTCCGAGTCGTTGACAGCTTCTATCGCAATTGCTCTCATATTCGTTGTGTCCATACCAGCCAATGCAGCCTCCACACATACCGTCGGCCATGTTGTTTAAAACCTTTTCTGCTTCTTCAACAGCAGTTGCGTCTGTAACAATAGTCTCTTCTGATTGCGTTATAGTTGTGCCAGACGCTTCCTCTTCTTCGGCTGCGGCCTCCGTTGCACTATCAATGAGTTCACTACCCTTCTTCGTCTCCATCCCCACCTCTGTTGTGTTAGCAGCAATTTGGTCGAGATAATATATACTGCGCATGGCAAACACTGTGGCATTTCGGGCGGCCCCTTCAGCAGTCGTGGCGACATTCTCGCACTCCTCTTTCAGTTTCATAGTCTCCTTAGCCATCTCATCCGCCCTCTTCACCATTCTAGCGGTGTGTTGTGGATCAGCAGCATGAGCCACACCCACACAGCAAAGCAGTAGGGCCACCAGGCACCACACACACACACACACACACATATCCACACGTGAAACACCGTGGCACAGAATTATGGAACAGTCAAGAGTGGAAGTTGTGTGCGCATTGGCGGTTGTAGTTAACTAATTGTGCCCTCAAGCAGTGCGTGCATATTGCTGTTTAAACTTGTACTATTTGGCGAGCTCAGTTTTGGGGCGGCATCAGAGCAATATACATTCTCGCTTCCTGCTTCCGATTTAGTCAGCAAAGTTGTAATGTTGTCGCTTAAACTGAATACGACCAATTTCGGCCCTTTCCAGGGCGTGTGTATCTACAAACCTTTTCTGAAAACAATGCTGCCATTCCTTCTCGAGTGCGGTGCGAGCAACGGTTCCAGACTCTGTGAAATGTTGGCATTGACCCCTGACGAGTGTTTGAATGGCCTGTGCAGGTAATTTAATTCATCCGCCCATTTCCACCACTGTACCCTTAAACACTTGGATTTGGGCTTGTGCAAGTTCAAGAAGGTAGTGTACTATTGGAAGATTTTAAATGCATTCATTAATGTTTGTGCCAAATTCCCTATCATATAGCTCAGATTTAGTTTTACATCCGCTGCATTTTTCCGATTAAATGTACTTGGGAAACGATTCATCCTTCCCTCCAACTCTTCCGCCTGCTGCTCATCCTTAGGCATAGACGCATTACATTTCTCCAATTTGTCATCGTACATTGGTTTGGCCTCATCCCAATAGGTACGATCACCTGTTTCTTCCCACTTACTCATTGCGTCAATGACCGCACTACAGGTTTCGAAAAAAAAAGCTTCACCATTGCATTCATTGTTTATACGATCATGAAATTCATCTTTTGCCTCCTTAAACCCATCTGCAACTGCATCAAAGTTTTTGGCCTTGAGTTGACAGTACAGCAACACAGTTTTATATCTCAGCTGGTGCCACTTCGTCAAATATTGAACACCCCCCATATGCAAAACCCTCGTGAAATATAGTTCTGATCGGTATTTTGTAATCCGCACTGCCTTGGAATCAGATCCATGCCGATGGTCTGTTAAATCTGAGTAGCTTATGTGTCTTTTATACTGAGCAACACATTCTTATTCAAAAATCCCAACCCAAGCAAAACGTGCTTTACACAATTCACAATATTTCCTGTTGCCATACGGTTTTTTGTTGCGCTGGTTTCCATTTCTAACACGCATTTCCATCGGGCGACACCTGACGCGGCAACACATCCCATGATAGTTGCCTCATAGTTTGCCTGTAATTCTGATTCTGTGACCAATGATTAAACTTAATAATAATAATAATAATAATGCGAACATCAACATGCGGGAGAATGTAACACAAAACGTTAGGGAAATTAAAAAATGTAGGTTATGAGAGGTCCATCAATCTAAAGTCATCATTTATTTCACTCTCAATACTCGCGGCATATGGGCCACACTTAAATTTAGTCTTGTGCTTCTTTTTACGCTCAATTTTGCACCAGCACGAGTCAAAGGTCTACTCCCACTACCCACTCGTGATGTAGTTGACAAAGTTGTAGCAGTGTCTGGTATGGCGGCCCGCGGTGATCTCGAACCTTTCCCCGACGCAGATTCAGGGGATTCTCTCCTCGAGCTACTTCTTGTGCCAGATACCCATTTTGTTGAACCACTCCTGTCACTTCCACTCGAACGTGGTGTGAGCGTTGGTTTCTGACTCCGTGAAATACTGGAACTAACCCTTGAGGACTCTTTGGCTGACCTATGCAAGCGATCTGATCCAAGCGCACCTTTCTTACACTTTGTCTCAAGTTCCTTGATTTTCCTGCCCTTTTCATCCACTTCATTCTTCAATTCACGAATCTCCCTGCCCCCTTTACCTACTTCAACCTCCAATCCATGGATCTTCTGACTTCTTTTCTCCACTTCTCCTTTCAACCCACGGATCTTCTTGTTCTTTTGCTTTACTTCACCCTTCAATTCACAGATCTCTTTGCTCTTCTTCTCCAGTTGACCCTGCAGTTGACAGATCACCTGGCCCTTTCGCTCCACTTCACCCTTCAATTCACGGATTTTCTTGCCCTTTTGCTCAACATTATTTGTAAGATCAAGGATTTTCTTTCCTTTTTGCTCAACATCATTTTTAAGATCAAGGATTTCCAAACCATTTTGCCCAATATCATCTTCAAGTTCACGGATTGCCATACCATTTAGCTCAAACTTATCCTCGCGTTCCTGGATCCGGCTATTGGAATCCAAGAAGGAAAACATCGCTGAAATATTTTCGGCGCATTCACTAATCGTTGCCTTAAACTCTTTCTCATATTGCTCTCCCTTAGCCTCAAACGCATTCCAATTTTTAAACTCGACATCGTACTTTGTTTTGGCCTTATCCCAAGCGGTACGATCACCTGTTTCTTCCCACCCATCCAGTGCTGCAACGGCCGCACTCCAGGTAAGGTAAAGACAGTCGCCATTACTTGTTTTTATATGCTCACGGAATTCATGTTCTGCCTCAGCAAGCTCACGTGCAACAGCATCACAACTTTCTGCCTTGAGTTGCCAGTACAGCATCGAAGATTTGCACATGAGCGTGTTCCACTTTATCCAATACGGCGAACGGCCGTCCCATGTAAACTCCTTCGCCCGGGTTAGTTCTGCGCGGTACCTTGCGATCTGCGCTGCTGTACAATCAGCACCGTGCTGCTGGATAATTAAAGTTGCGGCATTTTCCCATTTTTTACACTCCGCGGCACATTCTTGTTCACACCTTTCAACAAAAGTAATCTCTGCCTTCCAAGATTCCGCCCAAGCAAGATGATATTCCCTGGTGTCGTCCGATTTTTGTTTTGCTAGCTTCCTTTTCCCATCCCTTCCCACCTTGGCAGCTTCCGTGACCTTCTTGGCAGCCTCCCAGCGCTTGACGGCGGCATCATATTTGACCTGTAATTCGGATACTGCGAAGGCGTTTGACCTTTGAACTTCATTCTCAAGCACTGCGGCATATTCCTTACCTTTAGGCTTAAACGCATTCCAATTTTTAAACTCGACATCGTACTTTGATTTGGCCTTATCCCACGCGGTACGATTACCTGTCTCTTCCCACCTATCCAGTGCTGCAACGGCCGCCCTCCAGGTAAGGTAAAGACAGTCACCATTACTTGTTTTTATATGCTCATGAAATTCATGTTCTGCCTCCTCAAGTTTAGATGCGACTGCATCACAGCCTGCTTCCTTAAGTTGCCAGTACAGCATCGAAGATTTGCACATCAGCGTGTTCCACTTTATCCAATACGGCGAGCGGTCCTCCCATGTAAATTCCTTCGTACGGGTTAGTTCTGCGCGGTACCTTGCGATCTCCGCGACATCGGAATCAGCACCGTGCTGGTGGTACATTAAATTTGCGACGGTTTCCAATTTTTCACACTCCGCGGCACATTCTTGTTCACACATTTCAACAAAAGTAATCTCTGCCTTCCAAGATTCTGCCCAAGAAAAATGAGATTCCCTCGTATCTTTCGGTTTTTGTTTCGCTAGCTTCCTTTTCTCATCCCTTTCCACCTTGGCAGCTTCCTTGATCTTCTGCGTAGCCTCCCAGCGCTTGACAGCGGCATCATATTTGGCCTGTAATTCGGCTTCCGTGAGAGTGGTTAATCTTTGCACTCTATTCTCAAGTACCGCAGCATATTGCTCACCCCTAGGCTTAAATTCATTCCACTGTTCCCATTCAGCATCGTACCGATGTTTAGCCTTATCCCAAACGGTACGATTACCTGTTTCTTCCCACCTATTCAGCGCTGCAACGGCCGCCCTCCAGGTAAGGTAAAGGCAGTCACCATTGCTTGTTTTTATATGCTCACGGAATTCATGTTCTGCCCTCTCAAACTCACGTGCAACAGCATCACAACCTTCTGCCTTGAGCTGCCAGTACAGCAGCGAAGATTTGGACATGAGCTTGTTCCACTTTATCCAATACGGCGAGCGGTCGTCCCATGTAAACTCCTTCGCCCGGGTTAGTTCTGCGCGGTACCTTGCGATCTGCGCTGCATCGGAATCAGCACCGTCCTGATAGGAAAGGAAATGTGTGGCGGTTTCCCATTTTTCACACTCCGCAGCATGTTCTTGTTCACACCTCCCGAAAAAAGCAAACTCTGCCTTCCAAGATTCTACCAAAGCAAGATGATATTCCCTCGTATCTTTCGGTTTTAGTTTCGCTAGCCTCCTTTTCTCATCCCTTCCCACCTTGGCAGCTTCAGTGGCCTGCTTGGCAGCCTCCCAGCGTTTGACAGCAGCATCATATTTGACCTGTAATTCAGATTTTGTGGCCGTGGTTATTTTTTTCATTTTATTCTCAAGCACTGCGGCATATGGCTCACCCTTAGGTTTAAACACATTCCATTTTTCCCATTCGGTATCGTACTTTGGTTTGGCCTTATCCCAGGCGGTACGATCACCTGTCTCTTCCCACCTATCCAGTGCTGCAACAGCCGCCCTCCAGGTAAGGTAAAGACAGTCACCATTGCTTGTTTTCATATGCTCACGGAATTCACGTTCTGCCCTCTCAAACTCACGTGCAACAGCATCACAGCCTAGTGCCTTGAGCTGCCAGTACAGCATCGAAGATTTGCACATGAGCGTGTTCCACTTTATCCAATACGGCGAAAGATCGTCCCATGTATACTCCTTCGCCTGGATCAGTTCTGCGCGGTACCTTGCGATCTGCGCTGCATCGGAATCAGCACCGTGTTGGTCGATCATTAAAAATGCGACAGTTTCACATTTTTTACACTCCGCAGCACATTCTTGTTCACACCTTTCAAAAAAAGCAATCTCTGATTCCCAAGATTCTGCCCAAGCACGATGATATTCCCTTGTGCCCTTCGGTTTTTGTTTTGCTAGCTTCCTTTTCTCATCCCTTTCCCGCTTGGCAGCTTCTGTGGCCTCCTTGGCAGCCTCCCAGCGCTTGACGGCGGCATCATATTTGACCTCTACTTGGGCTTCCGCGAGTGTCGTTAATCTTTGCATTTGTTTCTCAAGTACTGCGGCATATTCATCACCATTAGGCTTAAAATCACTCCATGTTTCCAAGTCGGCATCATACTTTGATTTGGCCTTATCCCAATCGGCACGATCATCTGTTTCTTCCCACTTATCCAGTGCTGCAACAGCCGCATTCCAGGCTTCGCGAAAGGCTCTACCATTGGATTCATTGCTTATACGATCACAAAAATCATCTGTTGCGTCATCAAGCTCATCTGCTTCTGCATCACAGCCTTCCGACTTGAATTGGTTGTACAACTGCAAAGCATTGGATAGCAACTGATGCCACTTTGTACAATAAGGAGAGGACCAATCCCATGCAATCTCCTTCGTGCAGGTTAGTTCTGCTCGGTACCTTGCAATCTGCGCTACTTTGGAATCAGCACCGTGTTGGTGGATCATCCAACTGGCGTGACGTGCGTGTTTCTCATACTCCGCAACACATTCTTGTTCACATCTTTCAAAAAAAGTATTCTCTGCTTTCCAATACTCTGCAGAAGCGAGATGAGCTTCAATGGTACCTTTCGGTTTTCGTGCTGCCAACTTACATTTCTCATCCCTTTCCCGCTTTGCAGCTTCTGTGGCCTCCTTGGCGGACTCCCAGTGCTGGAAAGCGACCTCATATTTGACCTTTAATTGGGATTCCGCAATCGCTGTTAATCTTTGCATTTCATTCTCAAACTCTCCAGCATATAGATCGCCCTTGGGATGAAACACATTCCATTTTTCCAATTCGGCATAGTACTTTAGTTTCGCCTTATCCCAAGCAGCACGATCACCTGTTTGTTCCCACCTATTAAGTGCTGCAACGGCCGCATCCAGGGCTTTGCGAAAGGTTTTACAATTGGATTCATTGCTTATACGATTACAAAAGTCTTCTGTTGCGTCATCAACCTCATCTGCTTCTGCATCACAGCCTTCCGCCCTGAGTTGGTTGTACAGCATAGAGGCTTTGGATAGCAACTGATGCCACTTTGTACAATAAGGAGAGGTCCAATCCCATGTAAAATCCTTTGCTTGGGTTAGTTCTGCTCGGTACCTTGCAATCTGCGCTGCTGTACAATCAGAACCATACTTGTGGAGTATCAAACTGGCGTAGCGTGCGTGTTTCTCATACTCCGCAGTACATTCTTCTTCACACTTTACAAAAGAATTAAACTCTGCTTTCCAATACTCTGCACAAGCATGATGATATTCCCTGGTACCTTTCAGTATTTGTGCTGCCAACTTACTTTTCTCATCCCTGTCACGCTTTGCAGCTTCTGTGGCCTCCTTGGCAGCTTCCCAGCGCTTGAGAGCGGCATCATATTTGACCTGTAATTGGGATTCCACAACTGTGCTTATTCTTTGTATTTCCTTCATAAGAAGTGCGGCATACTGCTCACCAATGGGCTTAAACACATTCCACTTTTTCAGTTCGGCATAGTACTTTAGTTTGGCCACATCCCAAGCAGCACGATTAGTTGTTTCTTCCCACTTATCCAGTGCGGCAACGGCCGCATTCCAGGCTTCGCGAAAGGCTTCACTATTGGTTTCGCTGCTTATACGATCACAAAATTCATCTTCTGCCCGATCAAGCTCATCTGCTTCTGCATCACAGCCTTCCGCCCTGAGTTGGTTGTACAGCATAGAGGCTTTGGATAGCAACTGATGCCACTTTGTCCAATAAGGAGAGGTCCAATCCCATGTAAACTCCTTCATGTACGTTAGTTCTGCGCGGTACCTTGCAATCTGCGCTACTTTGGAATCAACACCGTACTGATGGATCATTAAATTTGCGTAGCTTGCGTGTTTCTCATACTCCGCAGCACATTCTTGTTCACACTTTTCCAAAAAACCAATCTCCGCCTTCCAATACTCCGCACAAGCAAGATAAGATTCCTTGGTGCCTCTCCGTTTTTGTGCTGCCAACATACTTTTCCCATCCCTTTCCCCATCGGCAGCCTCTGTGGCCTGCTTGGCTGCCTCCCAACGCTTGACGGCGGCATCATATTTGGCCTGTAATTCGGATTCTGGGACCGTAGTCAAACTTAATAGTGCTGTAAAGCACTTCAAAATGGACATTTTTGACATTAATAACACTGATAATAGCTGAAGTCTGTGGATGTAGAGAGAAAGAAAGAGAGAGAAAACAGAAAATAAAAGCACCACTACACCCCTAGTACTACACACACATACATAGACTCAAGCAATAATGCAAAGAAACTACACATATTAGGGAAAATACCCATTATTCAAAGAAAATGAAGTTCCATCCAATCCCAAATAAAAAAGAAAAGAGATTATAAACAAATTGAATATCATTTGGTAACATTGCAGAGATAGCCACACACACAAAAACAATAACGGATAATGTATAAATCTCTCTGTGTTGGTTTCTCCCTGTCCCATTACAATTTGCAGTGTCCCCATAGGAACAAGCAAATGACATGTTACCCCATTCACACATAATATAAAAGCAAATAAAAAAGAAAAGAGATATCATTTACCAAAAATACACAATTGCAGAGTGAGACACACCAGGAGGTGCACAGCAATACTCTGCTTACAAGTATAAAAATGAAAAAAAGATTAAGTATTTCCACACAAATTGATGCACCCTAGTGCAGTGGGTGTCATCGGGATTAATTTTCTTGGTGTTCGGTGTACTGAACACAGTAACAGTTATATTATTATTATTATTATTATTATTATTAACAGTAAACAAGTGATTACCCACACTCTTTAGATGGACCCCAGCACAGTGCTCAGCCCAGAGATCAGCAGTGGTAGTAGAAGTATTAGCCACATCTCCACTCTGGGTTACCGGCCTTGTGGATTCCATCATCTTAATCTACTATTCCTTCAGTCACTCCTTCTTCCATACCTTTTCCGTTGTCACAACGGCCTTTTCAACTACACGGAGGGAGTCCACTATCTGTCTAGGTGCCTCTTTGAGCTTTGCTGTCACATTTTCGTACATTTCGACTGTAGCCAAAAGTGACACCTCGTTATTCTTTGCTACTGCAGTGACTGATGCCTTTGCGAGTTCCACTGCTTTAGTGGCCTTCTCATTTGCTTCCTTGACCTTCTCTTGCATCTCTGTTGCCTTCTGCACTGCCTCTGTGGCTGCAGTGTGTGTCTTCTTTGCGGCTTCCGATGCGTTGCGTGCACTTTCTGTGGTTTCCTTCCTGCAGCCCGTCGTGCACTTCTTTAATACGTCTGCTGCCCACTCCACTGCGCTGCGTGTTGTGGTCTCCACACTCTGCGCTGCACTCAACACCTTCTCGGCCTGTCCCAATACCTCAGGAGTTAACGACAATCTTTCCTCAACAGCAGTCTTCGCCGTGTCAAGGAGAGCCTTGGCAGTGTTCGTATTATTCATCACTATATTGAGGTTGCCAGCAGCTTGTGATACATATTATCCCTGAACGAACCAGCTACTTGTATTTTTGCTGTCCCAGTGGGGGTTTCTGTTTTTCCTTCGCTCCATCACGAATTCATTGATGTCATAGTGGGTGTCATTGCCTCTCTCCATATAGTGCCCTGACACTCTCGGAGGTATTTCTATCTAACACTACCGCCTCTGCTTTCGCCGCTGTTGATGAAACTCCATTAATATCAAACATCTTTGTCACTGCAGCGGCAATATCATTTGGGGAACCTTGCCGCAGCTGAGAAGTACACGTGACGCCACTCACATCCACAGAGCATACCACAACGTCCAACAGACACACAACACCTGTATCAAAATGTGAAAGATTCTGGCAGAAAATTTCGGAACAGTCAAGAGTAGGGATTATGAGTGATCCAGCAATTGTAGGCTATCATTTTATTCTCAAGTAGTGCGTGTATATTACTAGCCCTTAGGTTTAATCGCATTATATATATATATTTTCTTCAATTCGGCTATGTTCCAGGATTTGGCGCTAGATCGTGTAAAAATGAGTCGATAGCGACTGTTGTTGTAAGTCGCGCGACATGGTTTTGGGTTTAATACTCCATCTTTGCTGTGTAGATCCTTCAGGGATGTGGTTTGCTTTACCTGGCCTAAACCTACTGGTTTGTTCTAGCATATCCTCTTCAAGTGCACGGATTCTTTTATCCTTCTCCTCAAGAGCACTCTCAAGTTCCATAATTTTTTTTTCAATTTCCTTGTTTTTTTCAAGCTGTTCGCTTTCAAGATCACAGAATTTTTTACGTTGTCGCTCTATTTCACCTTCGAGCAGTTGGATTCGAACGGCTTTTTGCCTGACGTCCCAATCAAGCGAGTGCATTTGACTGTCCTTCTGATGAATCGTGTCCTGAAACAAATGGATTTTGTCACCATTCCGTTGAACTTTATCCTCAAGCATTTGAATTCTCATGCCCTTTTGATTTATTTCGTTCTTCAGTGCACAAATTGCTCCGTCCCTACACTCCACTTCACTTTCCAGCGCTTGAATCCTTTTCTCTCTTTGCCCTACTTCCCCCCTTAATCCACGGATCTGCTCACTCTTTTGCTCAACATCGGTCTCGAGTACCTGAATTCGGAATTGTGTAAGTTCATGAACAATGGAAAACGATGCTGGATGATTTTTAACGTATTTACCAATCTTTACCTCTAACTCTTTCACATTTTGATCGCCTTTAGGTTTAAACGCATTCCATTTTTCCAATTCGGTATCATACTTTGGTTTGGCCTTATCCCAATCAGTACGATCACCTGTTTTTTCCCAACTATCCAGTGCTGCAACGGCAGCTACCCGAGCTCTACAAAAAGCTTCACCATTGGATTCTACTCTTATAAAATCTTCAAATTCATTTCTTACCGAAGAAATACAGTTTGAAACCATCATACGATGTAAAACGAGTCTATCTGAATCAGCAGCTTCCGAATCCATGGCGTTCGCCATTATTCCATGGAACATACACATAACTTTAGCTCTCCACTTGTACCATGTCGACAAACATTGCATACCATCAAGGAGAATACCGCCTGTTCGGATTAGTTCTGCGCGGCACATTGCAATCTGCGCTGCATCGGAATCAGCACCATGTTGGTGGATCATTAAATTTGCGGCGGCTTCACATTTTTTACACTCTGCAGCACGTTCTTCGTTAAAAACTTCAACAAAAATGATATCTGACTTCCAATATTCTGCCCAAGCAAAATGCGATTCTCTGGTGTCGTATGGTTTTCGTGCTGCCAAGTTCTCTTTATTATCCCTTTCCCACTCGGCGGCTTTCGTGACCCGCTTGGCGGCTAACCAGCGCCTAACGGAGGCATCATATTTGGCCTGTAATTCAGATTCTGGGGCCGTTAATAAGTTTGATGATTGTGTAAAACACGGCAACATGGACATTCTTATTATTAATATCACTGATAATAGCTGAAGTCTGCATATGTGTAGAGAGAAAGAAAGAGAGAAAGAAAACAGAAAATAAAAGCACCACTACACCGCTATTATTGCACTCACACATGAAGTCAAGCAATAATGTAAAGAAATTAGACACATTAGGGAAAATACCCATTATTCAAACAACATGAAGTCCCATCCAATCCCAAATAAAAAAGAAAAGATTATAAACAAATTGAATATCATTTGGTAACATTGCAGAGATAGCCACACACAAAAAAACAATAATAACGGATAATGTATAAATCTCTCTGTGTTGGTTTCTCCCTGTCCCCATTACAATTTGCGATATCCCCATAGGAACAAGCAAATGACATGTTAGCCCGCTCACAGATAATGTAAAAGATAAAAAGAAAAGAGATATCATTTACCAGAACCACACAATTACAGAGTGAGACACACCACAAGGTGCATAGCAATACTCTGCTTACAAGTATAAAAATGAGAGGAGATTAAGTATTTCCACACAAATTGATGCACCCTAGCCCAGTGGGTGTCATTGGGGTTAATTTTCTCGGTGCTCAGTGTACTGAACATAGTAGCAATTATATTATTATTATTATTATTATTATTATTATTAACAGGAAACAAGTGATTACCAACACTCTCTGGATGGACCCCACCACAGTGCTCAGCCCAGAGATCAGCAGCAGTGACAGTTTCTTTGTATTTATTACACGAATATCAGCAGCATCATGAGAACGCCGTCTATTTTCTTTCTTTTTATTCAGAGCAGCATCAGCCGCGGCATCGAGTTGCCCAATGACTACGTTCACACGTTTAACAGCAGCTTCCCCATTCTCCTCAGCAACGTAAGCTGCAATTGCCGCTCTGCGTGACAGGTCCGAGTTGTTGACAGCTTCTATCGCAATTGCTCTCATTTTCGTTGCGTCCATACCAGCCAATGCAGCCTCCACACTTACCTTCGGCCATGTTGTTTAAAACCTTTTCTGTGTCTTCAACAGCAGTTGCATCTTGTAACAATAGTCTCTTCTGATTGCGTTATAGTTGTGCCAGACGCTTCCTCTGCTTCGGCTGCGGTCTCCGTTGCACTATCAATGAGTTCACTACCCTTCTTCGTCTCCATCCCCACCTCTGGTGTGTTAGCAGCAATTTGGTCGAGATAATATATACTGCGCATGGCAAACACTGTGGCATTTCGGGCGGCCCCTTCAGCAGTCGTGGCGACATTCT